CCACCTGGGAGGGCAGAGAGAAGGGGAGCCCAGTAACCCAGTCTCACATCAGTCCATGGAGCAGTGAGATGGGCTCCTGAAAGGCACAGATTGGAACAGCCCAGAGCCTCCAGGGCTCATTAACTCTCCTTGGCCACATCTGTGATTTGCTCCATGATGTGTGGAGCAGGAATTTCCACCCTGTCTCCAGAAAAGTCATCCTGCCCCCTGGGCTGCTCAGGCACCACACCAACCTCCCTGTCCATCACCTGGTGACTCCAATTAAACCATGCCTGAAATGTGGAATGGGAATCAGCTGGGCAAGGCATTAATGGCAGCAATGTAAAGGCTCAGTGCAAACCTTCCCAAGATGAACCATCCTGCCCTTGGCTGGGCTGACAATAAAAGTGTGACCTCATGTGCAAACAAGCTCAGAATTCAAACCAGGTGCTGGGAGCAGGGATGGTGCTGGGGCAGGAGCCTTTCTCCCTCATCCTGAGCACAGCCAGGACACAGCACCAAAACAGCCAGGGCAGCACAGGGCTCCATCCTGCACTGATGGAAATGCTGGGCTTTGTGCTCCTTGGTGCCAGCTCCACTTGGGGCAAACACCACTAAGTGAGCAGAGTTGTTGGCACTCATTTCCACGTGTGTGAACTTTCCTGCAGCTCTGGAATCAAGGCAGAAGCACAATGATGAGGGGGTTTCCATGTTTGGTTAGACACAGGACTCCCCTGGACCTTGCAAAGTGCTGGGAGCTGCACTCACAGACACAGCTGCTGCAGAGCACTGAGACTTAGAGCCAGGAAGGACATCCATGCTGCAGTAAGGGAATGGCCTGCTCCCCATCACTGACCCTCACCTTGCTCAGCAAGGCCCATCCCAAGGGTCTCCATGAGCAGTTTTTCACCCCAGGCCAACTGCTCGCCCTTTCCCCACATCCCAGAGGCAGTGCTGGCACAGAGCTGTGAAATAAATATTGAAGAACACTGAATTCACCTTTCTAAGAGAAAGCATTTTGATAGACCTACAACCTTCCACTACAACTGACATTTTCAAAAGCTCTAAAACTCATGCTCATGTGTGGGTCAGTTCTGTTTGTGGTAAGCTCCTACCTGGCAAGTGGTTGTAGCCAAACCACCAGTAAGTTTGGGTTAGATGCATTCATTCCAGCTGAGAGACATTGAATTAGTTACATTTGTTAACTTCCAACCTCCTGATTCTTGAAGAACACCAGCCTCTGAAATAAATTCTGCTAGCTCCTGTTCACAGCACAGAAGAGGCAGCTTTGCTGTCCATGAACCAACACCTGGGAGGACAGTAACTGCATTGCTCATTGTTGCATCCTGGTGTTCTGGAGAGCACAGTTCAGAGTAGAATCCATCCCTGGGAGCAGACTGGCCTGGGAGGGGCAGCTGGGAACATTTCAGGATGTGCTGCAGAACATCAGCTGCACAACAGAGTGGGGATCACACACACAGCTGTGTAGAGTGTAAACTGTTCTTTATTTTTTGCATTTTTTGGAACACTGGCTGTTCCACAGTGACTCTGAGGCAAAGAGAACTCAGAACAGAAAATCTGTTGTACAACACACAGGTTTGACATGAGCTGGGCAATTTTTACATCCAGATGATTATTAATTTCTTTTGGGAATTCCATTTCCACATGAAGCATGGCTGGATGAACACCACTGAAGCACACAAATATCAAAACCACCACCACAAACTGCAGTTTATAATACTGAAAATTCTCTCCCACTGGCAGCAAGAGTAAACATGTCCAAAGGTTTCTTTGTATGGAGAGCAGCTGCACTAAATGGTTTCAACACCAAAATCAACCGGAAAAAAATTTCAGGTGAAGTGTTAAATTAAATCTAACTAAGAAGTTCTACAATAATCCTAGTTTTGAGCTCTGTTGTTTAGCAGCCTCCTTCCTGCCATGCTGGTTACAAAAACCATTCTTCACACCCAGCTCACCACAGTCCAGCTGAAACTTGAGCAGCCTCCAAATGGACAAGGAATGGAAATAGGAGAAAAGGAGAAAATAAATCAAAGGCAACCAGTTAATTTTCATCTCTCACATTGTTCTTCCTGCTCAACTGGGGAAAAGGAACCTTTCCAAGTGGGTTCAGAAATGCTGTGGGTCCCTTCATTCGTTCCTGTCAAGTCTTCAGTGAAGAAGGTTGGAAAATGCTGATGACAAGCAATAAAGCAGAATCACTGAAATTCATAAATCTGGAAATTTGGAATAAAAAAATATCTGTATGCAAGAATAATGAAGCAAATATTTGTCAGCATTTAAATGAACTGAGAGTACCACACTGGAGGCCTCTTCTGCTCAAAAACTTCATGGAAGTGCACAATTGTAGAAAAACCCTTGAGACACAAAGCACAGCACAGCTGTGGGAGGTGAGAAGGATAAATTACTCTGGTTTTTCATTGTGAACAACACTCATATCTTCTAAATTTGGGAACAGAAATTCTTTTTCTGCCTCTCCATATTTTAAGTTATGAACTGCAGAAACTCAGAAGTAGCAGCATTTCTAGGGTTTTTCTCAGATGAAAGGTAACAGGCATTCTGTAAACCCCTGTGCTCTCCTTTCTGCAGCCAAAATATAATAACAGAGCTCAGCAGAGCTGTGAATTGCTTCCATTCATCCTCATCAACTTCAAAGACTGGAATTCATCATTCCAAAGTTACCTTTCAGGACAGTCAGTCAGCAGCCAGGCTGGTTGGGATAATACCAAGGATTAAAAACAATACTGTAGTGATTTCTGCAGCACTAAGGAATCCCCTGTAAAATTAACACTCTATTTCAGGTATTTTCTCAGTCATATTTTCAAGGTGAGGCACACAAACCAAACTGCCCCAGGGCAACAGAGCAGTACAGTGCATGGTGAGACTCAGCTTTTTCAGGGAGAGGAGGCAAAAGCAAAAGCTCAGCAAAGCTTTGCCCACTTTCTCTCCCCTCACAGATAATCTAAGTATTCAGACTTAAGCATTACTGGTTGGAGTTTAAAATAAAAGTGACTGCAGTAATGACCTACCAGAACTACTCAACAGTATGCTACAAGAGCAGATAATAAATGAGAAACAATTTCCATAAAATTTCTAATAAATACACTCCCTAAATTCTAGTGTCTGACAAAAATCCCTGAGTTCATTCTCATCAATGGAAGGTCTCCTGTTTTCCAAAGAAGTTCTGGTTCAGTCAGACAGCAAATCACTTCCTGATGTACAGCTGTCAGTGCTGACTCAAGGTACACTTTTACAAGGCATATATTTAGTTTTCTACAACATGGCCAGAGATTCCATGAGCATCTGAATCCCTGCAGTGTAACAAAGCCCATGAGAGTCAGCCATCAAAGGGCAGCCACAGGCAGGAAGGCAGCTGCACCTGGTTAGCAGCAGTTTGAATTGGAAAAATAAAGGCAAGTTCACCTTTTAGGCAGATAATGTCACATCTTGTGGTCACCTTGGTTTTCTGCTGGGTAAACATGTGACAAGAACCACTGCCAGTGCCACAGGAGAGCTGGGAACTCCTGGCCAAGTGTGGATCTGCTGTTTCTGGTACTGCCAAACTATTACAGGGCTCACCTGGACTCAAGAAACCTCTGCTAGAAACTTTGATAGAAAAAGAACTGCAGTCCTTTCCAGGGATCTTTTTCTTTGGGATCCTACCAAAATTTCTGAGTTAGCTCCCTGGCCTCACCACAGAGTCTGTTTCTAAATTAAGCTCCTAGGGAGAAGGAGACTTCCAAGCAAAAAGGATTTCTGAAGCAGCACTAACCTGCAGCACCTGGGTGCTTCAGGCCATCCATCCAAAATGAAAAGTAACTCCTGGACCCTGAGAGAGCCAAGTGATCTGCTGGCAGGAGAAATCAGGAATGGAGAAGGTGATTCCAACTCTGCTTTTTGCTGCTCCTCCCCTTTAGACAGGACAGGATCTATCAGCTTTTGATTCCTTAGGGCATGAAATCTCTGAGGAGATAAGGCCACTTTAGGGCCATCACATCCCACCTGAGAGAAGGAAATGCTAAAAACCTCCCCATGGTCTCAGCCACTGCTTTCAATCTACTAAAATGAGGAACTTTTCTTGTGGGTACCCAAGAAAACTTTTCTTGTGGGTACATCATTTTCAAAGCCCACCTGGTGTTGGAAACTGCTTTCACATGCAGGGGCCTAAAAAATAAGGAATTATAAAAGACTACATGGAAGTTCACAGACATCTGAGGTAAAATTAGGGTTCCATAAAAGTAAAATTTCCCTTTGTTTTCAGCAGAGGCAGATTGTCATCTTTTAAGCCCAAATCTTCTCTGACACACAAAAGAACATAAAATATAGAAACGCTTTAGTTCAAACCTGAAAGATTTGTAAAAATGGGAGTAAGAAAGAAAAAGAGAAGTTTTTCACTTGGAGGAATACTGAGGTACTTTGAGTACTACTCAAAAGTAGATATTAATTGAAAAATGTCTATTATTAACTACAAAATGAAAACATCAAAATGAAATGCTACTAAAAGCTATTGTGCTTGATGGGCAAAATTAATTTAAAAATTAATCAGGATGATTCAAGTGTGCTGACACAGAAAAACTGTACTTGAAAAAACAATTAAAAAATATTATCATGACATGCCCATTAAACTGAGCTAAGGCAGTTGGTCTCTGGATCCATCTTAGGATAAATTCGGGTAAACACTTGGAGTCAACAAGTTCTTAATGTGAACTGGCTGAAATTTTGGAAATTAGTCAAGCAACAGGAATATTTCAAGGATTAGGACAATGTGCACTATCCTATGTGCACAAATCACACTATGCACAAAAAGACTGATGTAATGTCTGCTCACCTTGTTCTGAAAGGACAAGTTATTTCAAGTTTCTGGTTTTTTCACCATGTGCCCTAAACCATTTTTGCATTGCAGAAATTTTCAAGACCTTTTTACCTGTCCTTATTACATCATCAAAACCTCTTATTTTAGAATGGCAAAGATGAATTGCCCAGTAACTGAAGAGTGACTGAAGATTAAAGAAGGACCATCAGTAAAGGAGGTGAAAGGAGCATTGCTTCTTCCTTGGCAGCTTTGGTCAGTGTCCCTTTGGGATGTGCAGCACTCACTGCAGCAGTGCTGGCACCTCTCTGCTCCCTGCTGTCCCCCTGGAGCTCAGGTCACACTGTCAATAGCTCTTATTGATCAACCCAATTGAAAATTATCAGAACCAAACTGAGAAGGCCAACACAAATGCCAAAAACAACCAAGGCACATGCCTGTGAAGAAAGAAAAGCAAAAATTAATGCCAAGAACAGGTACAAATAGTGACTTTTAAAATAAATCTGTACTGTTTCAAATTATTCAGTCTTCAAACACAAAGAATCTGCTTAGTGGGAAACTAAACCAAGCCTGGCATAGTTCCCTGGGAACTCCTGGAGCAGTCACACTATCCAGCTGCACAAAAAATAATTTGCCCTTTAGAACTCTAAAGGAATGGAGAAACTGATTCATATTTTACTCAAAATACAATTAAAATTACAATGGATTTTTAACATTTTTGACTAGCCAGATGATGATAAAACCACAGTTCAAGAGACTGCAGCCTGCTGATTTATAACAGGTTCCCAATCTGCTGGAACTAGCCATGACTTTAGATGGTCAGAGGGCATCATTATTATATTTTCTTTCAGATTCCCTGTTTTGTCAATACAAGAGCAGCTCCATGAATCATAAGAATGGCAGAAAAACTATGTATAAACATTTTGTCAGCATCTTGGCCACTCTGCTGAGCAGTGGTTAAATGAAGACAGACAGTTACAGTGCAAAAAGCAGGCTCCTGCACAAATTCCAGCTCAGAACTTAACCTACTACAACAAAAGAGAAACCACAAAGAGGAGAAAAAAAACCAAACAAAAAGGAAGAGAACCAAAAACAAAGATGTTTTTGCAAAGTCTTTTATAGAAAACAAGCACAAAAACTGTTCCACTTAAATACAATTTAGATTTGTGCCAACTGCTCAGACAACAGAGTTAGAGGTAAAAACTGAGCAGAAGCTGGATTAAAAGCCAACATCTGAAAACTACAGGGAAAAGCACATATCAGACCAATTGCCCAGTACATGCACACACTGCCTGCCAAAAAACTCTGCTGAAGAAGGAGTTTCAGACAGACCAGAGCTACCAGGAGGGATGAAAGAAAATGCTCAGAGATTCTGTGAGCTGCAATGCAAACAAGAGCTTTGCCCCTTGGATTGTGTGCTCCACTGTGTATTAAAATGCATTTAAAATGAGGCTGTTTAAATGTTATTAGTGCAGATGAGAAAACAGAAAACATACCCCAAGTTTCTGTGGTGATATGAAGTCCTCTCTGTTAAGTTTAAGATAAAATAGTCCAGGATATACAAAAAGCAAACATGTTGATGTGGTTGAACCTTTAATAAACAGAAAGATTTTGTTTAGAGAAGACTGAAGCACATTGCAGAATCATATACTGAATTTCTTGAATTAAAATAAAACCCAAAAAAAACCAACCACCACAAGAACTTACCAACTACTCCAAATACATTTTTAATGTCTGGCACATACATTGCAAACAGAACAACAACTGCATTCAGTGTTAAGGTGACAAGGATATGGCAAATCCATGACCCAGGAAGATGAGAGAAAAATACCATCAGCACAGCTTTCCTTGCCTGCACAATAAAAGACAAACATTGTGTGGGTAAATACATAAATACACACACATATTTTTTGATCTTACCTCAATTTCATGACTTGAAGAATTACATCATTCCAGATGTAAAAGAACATTTTAAAAATCAAAATGCCAGAAGATCAGTAATAGTTTAATGCTTTGTCTCTCTGTAGTGTAGATTTATTACAGCATTAAAGCAAGATTTATCACATGGTCATTAGTCTGAAGAAATGACTGGTCCCTCCCTTTTTTGGAGGGACAAAAGAAGGCCTGGGGGACAGTCTTTGTCTCTTTGAAAATGCCTGGTAGCAAATGTCAGCATGTTGTCAACTGATACATAACCTATACAGTGCTTCCATACACAGAGTTTTGCCAGTTCCTAAAAGAATGGATTTTCAATTCTACTACAGCATTGATAAGCTAAACTAGAGTTTATTTTTGTGAAATAGGTCTATATGTGTTTTTAATTTACAATCAAATTGAGTTTCAAGTACAAGTGTGTTTGTGTGTGGGTGCGTGCATGTAGAAAGGAAAAACCAAGTCAGCAAAACTCAATTTAAGAGGGGAAAAAAAAAATCAAACTAAATAAACTTTAGAAGTTCTGAATTCTCTAAATTAGAAACAATGCTGTGGGCTAGTTTTAATCTGAAATCTGTCTCAAGAGCACAAATTAGCTTAGTGGTTAGCTGTTATTTTGGAGCTTTCATGGAACATATGCAAATATGTGGTCTTTGATCAATCACTTGACAAGTGAATAAGATACACAGGACTAGATGTGACTCAAGGACTGCAGTCTGCAAAACATTAGTGCCCAGTGCTCAGTGCCAGCTGCAGAGCCCTCAGGAATACTCACTGGGAAATGGATCAGAGGCACTGTCAGGAGCACAGCAAACAGAATGGCTGCTCTCACTGTCATGATGATGGTGTCGTGGGGCAGGTACCTGGAGTAACCCTGCAGCAGCTCAGAGTCCACTTTGTCTGAAAACAAAACAAATTAATTGCTTTGTTAATCAATGGGGAGCTAATTAATTAAGGTGACATTCCAATGGATCCATCTGCTTGTGGGATGCAGATACACTCTGGCATTACTGATACACTAGGAAGGAAAATCTTCAGGGAAATTAAAAATTTCAGGAGGTAAGGCCATGCAGAGTCTCTGCTGAAGCCAAAGATGCCTAAAGAAAAGACACAAATGTGAAGGACACAGCTTCAAAAAAAGGAGGAAATTTAAACAGCAAAAGTCAGAGCACTGAGAGTAGTCTGCTACCCCTGATTTTTTTCTTTTTTAATCTTAAATCTGCTTTTTTGGACTTCAGAATACACTGAAATTTTCAAAGTCTGGTCACCCTGTGAAGTTTCAAATTCACAGAAAACAGAAGAAACCATCTGAACCACAGAGAGATGAAACATGCTTCATTTCAAAGAGGGAACTGTTCTTTTGTTTCCAATTTAATATAAAATGTTTTACATTTTCTCAGACTGGTGTTTTAGGAACAGGGAACAGACTTTCTCTGTTTAAAGAAGTAAGTTAATTAAACAAGACAACCAAAAAGTGAAAAGAAGAAGAAGCTTGCAAGGGGAAAAATCCAAACAAACAACACAAGTCTCTTACAGACATCCACTCTTGATTCCAGCATTTCAGGCTCCTGAGTCTTAGAGTCCCTAAAGGAAATCAAGCCTGCAGAAAACCCAAACCATTCCTAGTGAAACAGACTGAGAGGTGAAGGCAGGGTCTGGTCACAAAGAAATCATGGCAGAAAAGGTAACAGGAACTGGGATGGCTTCCAGGACTATTTTTTTCCTCTTTATTTTTTTCCCTTCTTATTAAGATTTCATCTGGATAGATGATTACCCTGCACTGCCTACTGAACCTCTCTGAGTTGCACTTAAATTTGTATTTATTTATATTCTCCAGCAAACCTCATGGAGACAGCCAGCAAACAGTGGCCAACAGACCATTAGGGCGTTCAAAAATCCTCATATAATTTTTCTAAGGTTTCTGGATATCTAGGGAATATTTTCAGACATGCTTATACTTGGGGATAAAAGGCCCAAAAGTCCCTAAAAATCTGGAATTATTATATACTGAAAGCCAATATTCTTGGTACTCTGTTAGACACCATCTCATCCCCACAATCAAGAATTATGAAACACTTGAAAGGAGAGGAAATCCTCATCAGAACTTTCATTCACTGCCTTACAGTCTCCTGTAAGAATTTTTATTCATTCCAATCAATGAAGATTAGCATGTGAACATCTCATAATAAGAGTTTTCAGAAGACATCAGAAGGATCCTCATGGATGACTGTGATGCATTTATGTGACAGCATTGGTATGAAACTACAACAGAACCAGCAAGTAGAGGAAATTCAACAAACCAGTTGTGTTGTCTCTGCTGTATGAAATGGACACTCACCTACTCATGCCAGGGCTGGGATGGACCTTTACAAAAAGGGGCCTGAAATCTTTCTGAAGTACAAGAATGCCAGACAGAAAAAATCATCTATGTTTAAACTGTACTGAAAATCTGTACCCAGGAGTATTCAGAAGTCCAAATGTAGAGTAATTAAATTGGTACTGCAGCACACTGTCACCTAAATTGCACAGCAAATGAAAATGTCTGTAGAATTTGGTAGGGCAAGTGTTTGCTACCCCACCCACTCTTCTTATTGCTAATAAAAAGGTACAGTTACTTCATCAAATATCAACAACATTTCTAGGAAATGTGCACTTCTTGGTTCAGTTCATGTATCAAAAACACATTTCTGGCTCAGGAACCAGAAGCAGTGCTGGAAAACCCAGCTCAAAGCCTTTCCTTTTGAATTTTTAAATTCTGAGGGTTCAAGTGTTCTAGTGCCTGAAGCATTCCAGGCAGAAGACATTTATCTTTTATCATTAACTTTGGTTCTAAGGAATACCTGAAGAATACACTTACCATAAAATGTCAGGTACCCAAAGAGAGCAGATATGAAGTAAATTAGGAAACTCAGCCCAATTCCTGTGACAGTGACATTCTGCATTCTCCTTTTGGATGGACTAAAATGGAGAAAGAAAAGGAAATTAGTGGTGTTTTAACTGCATTGAGGCTGATTAAACACAGCACAATCTATACAGTACCTTGCATTTCATAAGGAAATATTGGCCTAATTTAAGGCCACTGAGGATTGATTTGCTGAGGTCTGTGCTGTCACTGATATTTAGGGGGTTTGAAAGTATTTTTAATCTGGTTATTAAAAAGGCACTTTTCAAGCAGACAATTAACACTGTCCCCATCTTGTATGGAATTTAGACTTCCCAGTGTCTCTTTTAAATGAAAACTGGGATTTACCAGGATGATACCTGTACAGAGACAGGAACAGAATCTGTGTCAAAATCATCATTGGATCAGATATGGCCAAATGCACGTTCAGTTACAGCCATAAAAAATGGCTATTAAAGTATCTTAGGAAATGACCTTTTTTTCCTCCTGATTGTCCAGGGCAGGACAATATCCTGACACTGATGATGGAACCACATTTGTTACTTTTCATTCCTCTAAGAGAGAAAAAGCCAGGACAGACTAAAACTGTACATTTCCCAAAACCATGAAAGCTCCTTATTCTGCAGCGAATTCTGCACTGATCTAAAAATAAAAAATACTCAGGGAAAGTATTACAAAAAAGGTTATAATTCTATTTTAATATTGCATGTGTTCATACATTACCTTTGGAGCTCACAGTAGATTGGCAAGACTGAGGTATGGCACAGAAAAGAGAAGGCCATAGTTGGTATTGCATAAGCACTCTGAAAGAGAAAGAAAACATCTTGTAAGTTGTTTGCTGTTACTGCTGGTTGGAAAAATATCTGTATGAACTCAGAATTCAGTTCAAGTGCTGGAAGTCAGTGGAAAAATTTCCAGATGAATGCTTTGAGATAAATCTCCACAAGACAGAAATGGTGTCTCTAATCAGTCCACAAAAATTCAACCTTTTCAAGTCATGTCAGTTCAAGTGGACATAGCTCAGTTTCTTCATCTGAAGTCATGCTGCCTATAACCCAAAATCTGGGAGATTTTCTTTTTTCACTATACTGAAGCCAAGTACATTTGTAGAAAGAGCAGGATGTGTCCCAGAGTCAGTGTATCACTTGTGAAATTCTCTAAGAATTTTTCCAAATTCTAATATCCATGGCTGTCAAATTACTGATTCCTTCACCCTGACCTCACTATTTTATTACTCCTTCAGAAAAATTTGGATGAAATATAAAATATAACAGAAAATATTAACAGGAAATATAACATGCTTTGGCATCTCAAGTTTTAAGACAATTATGTAATTAAAGATGCAACCACACAATTAGTGGTGTATTATTCCAAAAATTTGTAATAAAAGAGATGAATCATCTAGTACAGCTTACTGCAACTGCCAAGTAGAATAAGCTGTGCTATAACAAACACTTTTGTGCTGAAATAATCAGGCCCATGCTGGTAAAGATTTGCCACTTTCTATTGATAAAGGCAATTTTAAAAAGAAGGAGAGATGAGTCCCGAGAGTCTTCAAAGCACAAAAGGCCAGAATCTCACATAAGATGTTTCTGGCCAAAGCACCATTTCTTTTTGATCTACAGACAACATTTGTCTGATGTTTGCACTGCCCAAGGTTTTTTTTTCCTTTCCTTTTTCTTGGGAGGGTAGGGTGGACTTTTGTTTTTTCAGAGAAGTGCAGCCACATCCCTCCTAGATGTCACTACAGGCCAATCCCAGATTTACCTTTTTCCCTCCCTCTTCACCCCCCAGAGACCAGGGCTCTACATAACACCTCCCCTCCTGCAAGCCTTGCTGGGTGTTACATGATTTAAATGCCATGTTAATTAACAAATACCAGGGCTGGAACCCAATGAGATGCACAAGACTGCAGCAGACCTGAAGGATCAGCTTCAGGTGAGGAAAAACTAAGGTTGGTTTCAGGAAAGCTGCTCTACCCTGCCAGGAACCAAGAGCACACAGCCAAGCAGCACCAACTTCCAGCTGAGGGCTTGATCTGATTGCATGATGAGGCTGACCACTGCTTCAGCTGTTATATTTTCTTCTTTGGCCATATTTCCAAAATATTTTCATAAATGCTAACTTGGACAATCAGCTTTCATACAAAAAAAAAGAAGTGAGACTGGATAGCAGTTGGCAGCAGGTACAGAAAATATTTCAGCAGCCCATAACGAGTTTTACACAAGGACAGCTTACCCTGGGTAAGGTTTAAACCCCAATTTTTTAAATACCTACACCCCCCTTTAAGTTTGTGTATTGTTAATAGAGATTACCTCTTTTGAAAGATGAAAGAGCTTTGCTTTACAATCCCCAGTAGAATTTGAAACCTGTAAAACATAAATGCAAAGAAAAAAAAAAAAAGGCATAATGAAAGAATAAGCCCAAACCACAGACATGAAACTTTTCAGATTCTGTGATGATTAATAAAAGAAGGAATTTAAATTGCAAGCCATTCTGAAAGTGTTAATGTAAAAAAGCAATACAGTTTACTAATAAAATTAGAACTTCAAACCAGCATGCACTTTACCTGTAAAGTCTCTATGGCACTGCTCAGAGGTAGAGGACAAGGAATCGACCATTTTTTAATCACAACCTGCAGACACACCATATTTCATGTATGAATGATATCCTAAAAATCAGTTTTCAATTTAGATACACATAGCAGTAGTATCAGCCTGCTGGAACCCCCAGCAGGGAGCTGCACCCCCAGTAAATCAGCAGCCCTGCCTGGCACCCAGGCCACCAGGAGGAGACTGGCCAGCAAAGCCTGTCAGTGCCATTCCATGCAGCTGCTCACCCTGCACAGCTGGCAGCCTCATGGGCCAGGCTTCTGGAGGTGGGGCACTATTGTAAATCAAAGGGGAGAGAGAATGATGCATTTGACTTTACCATCAGAAGGCTGTATTACACTGTACTATGTACATTGCATTTAAACTGAATTTGCTCTGCACTCACTCGTGCTTACAACTGCTCACACTGCACTCATCTCTCATTCTCTCTCTGACACACACACACTTCTTGGCCCTGATAGGCCAAGGGAACAAAGCATCCTCACTTTGGGTAAACAACCTCTATATTGCATTCTCTATATTACATTCACTTTGGGTAAATAATCTCTATATTACATTCTCTATATTACATTCACTTTGGGTAAATAATCTCTATATTACATTCTACTTTAACACAACACAAGCAGAGCAAGCAGGATAAGAATTGTGTTTTCCTTCTTCTCTGCTTGTCTCACAGCTTCTCTCTGCTCAAAAAGCATGTGAATACTCCAGGGCACTGCAGTGGGCTCTGCCATGAGCTGAAATGCAAGCAGACTCCCCTCCCAGGCAGGATTGCTGCTGTGGTAGAGCCCAGCCTGCACCCGCAGCACACGAGCCCTCAACAGAGATAGAGCAGAGCCCAGGGCTAATCTTGAAAGGCAGAAACATCTGGTTTGGACTAGAAAGCAAAGGAAAAACAATAAATGCAATTATTGTCCCAGAATGTCATTGGGCCTTCAGCTACACCCTGCTGGTTTAGGGACTGCCAAGTAACAGGGTTGAAAATCAAAGGGAAATTAAAGTAAGCAATGTTACCTCCTCTTTCAGGAGCCCAGTTTAAAATGATAGTTGCATTGCTCTCCTCACCCTAATTAATTTCCTATTGTAGTTGCCTGGCTGCAGAGGTTATAATTCTTTTGAAGCCTAGAGCAAATCATTAAAAACTTAATTAAAGACTCAGATTCATGAGAAGAATAACATGCAAGGGAGTTCCTCTCCTGGCTCAGGGAACTGTGCCCTGCCTGCTGCCAAGTGCTGTTTCCCAGAGGAGTAGATGCTCCCTCTTGTCACCAGTGCCAGGAGAGGCAAGCAAATGTCACCTCTGGCCAAAGTGTGGGGAAAGAAAACTGTGAGTACACAAACTGTGGCAGGAACACTTTTTAAACTGCACAGAACAACTCAGTCAAGGTATGGAACTAGGTGAGAGCCTGCTCAACAGCAGCCTGCAAACAGCAAACACTAAAATATAACTTGGGCTGGGTTGTTTAAAGGCACACAAAGAGGAGAAGGCTTTGCAGGCTCCAAAGTAATCAGCTTTGTAGGAACTCCCCACTCCTGTCTAAAGCTGGAACAGGCACTGGGAAGGGGCATGGAGCTGAAGGGCAAGGTTTGGGGAAAGGAAAATGTGCCTGGCAGTGATGAGGGGAAGACTTCCTGCAAGCTAAAGAGCAAATATATATATAAACACTGCAGAGGGAGGACCAGACAAGCCAAACCTAAAAGGCTGGAGAACATTTTGCTAAAATAAATGTAATACAGATTAACAACAGACTGTGGAAATAAAAGAAGACAAAATAAAATGTACTAGGTGCATTTTAAAAAAAATCTCTATTTATTTTTGCCCACTTGCTTAATTATTTAAATGTATTTAGGTTTCCAATTGTAGTCTAAAGAGTTTCCCCAACAGGAAAGGATTTTTAAGCTGGCAGCACAGCCCAGTTAGCTGAGCAGTCATGCAGGCACCACAACCCTCCTCTAGAACTTTAAGCCTATTTCATATAAACATTCCTTTGAGTACAAAAAATGTTTGGTTTTAAGTGAAAAAAAACTTAAAAATCAAGAGAGGTTCTAGTGGAAAAAGGGTATTTTAAGCCCACACCAGACACATTGCTAAAGAATAAAGTTAAAGGCTCAAAGTGTTCTAATATTCTCAGGGATTTTTTGTACCCTGCAGAGGGAAAACAGGAATCCCTTTATTCCAGCAGCACTGACAGCACTGGGCAAAGCTGTCTGTGCATAACATCACTCATTGCATGTGGCAGGCCCCCAATGTGCAACGTGTTTTGTGCTGGGAACACAAACAAGAGATTCAGACAAACACCATCAGCAATCATTAACACCTTGGCTGAACAAACTACCAATAATGCTGTCTCCACACACACAAAAAAATACAAGTGTGTCTTTATGCTTCACCAATATACACAGCAAGAAGAGAAGGAATAACAAAAATTTTAACAATCACATTTTTTTTCTGGATGATTCAAGGCAGGGAAGTATTCAACAACTCAGCAACAAAAGTGCTCAGGAGCTCACAGAATCTGGCTTTGAATGAATTGTTACACACACTTGTTTTTCTCCTAGATCAGCTCATCTCAGTATCTGCAATATTTTTGCAAGTAAAGCCTAGAACCAGTTTTTTGGCTTTTAAGGAAGAGATATTGAGGCACAGAGAGGACATTTAAGCCCCAGAACAAAGAAGGCTCCAGCCCTTTGCTCTCCCTGACCAGACTGACTGATGTCTCTTTTCTGCAGGCTGCAGTAAAATTGTGCCTTGCTGGCAAAAAGCTGAACAGATGGTGTGCACTTGAAAAGGCACAGAATTACTGTAGATGCAAAATATAATTCTATCACTTCCATATGACTAACACAGTTCTCTTCTGGAACAAATTAAAACATATCTGCCACACAGAAATTAACAGTGTGCAAACTAAAACACCATTTCAACAGCACATATCACCCACTTCAAAGCAATTAGATATGAAAACTAAACCACATTTAATGCCTTTGACTTTCAGGGCCTGAGCAAGTCACAGGGAATATTCTGTCAAGAGTATTGGTTTTCTGGAAATATCCATAATGGCTTTAAAAACCTTGACCTCAGCTAGATTTACTGTGGCTGCTGCTTTGCCATTTAACAAGAAAGAGAAAGCACACAAACTTTAACATTTCATTAAAAATCCAGCAGTCTGTACTCCTCCCTTAGCACTTTGTACCCACTCTTTTCACAGAGAATCACAAACTAAAATCTAGTTTAACTCATCCCAGCTTGGCATGGCTGCACACAATTCTTGCTAACACATTTGCTTTTTCAAGGACTGAAGTTGTTTTCAAATGCATCCACCCATTACAGCAGCTCTCCTCAGAGATCCATCCACATTCCCTTTGAAATCCAGGAGCTGAACTGGTTTTAAAACTCTTGCAACTTGCTTCAGCCAAAGGCCTGTGTCAGCATTATACTCAGTGCTTTTTCTTACCTTTTTTTTCCATTTTTTTTTCTTTTAAAGATAAATTTTAGGAGAGAGGTCAAAAGTTAAGGTAATTTATAAATATTACAAATGAATTTCCATTAACTCTGGAGAGGCTGTGGCTGCTTCTCAATATTCAGCTTAAGAAGAATACTTCCCAAGGTCCTACAAACACTGCAGCTCTCCAGGGATACCCTAGGGAGATGTTTTGACAGCTTTGAAGTTTGGTTTTATCACATGGTTCAGTTCCTAATGGATTGCCTTGGTCTCCTGGATGGCATGTTTGTTCAACTTGCCTTCAACTCTGTTTATCCCTTTGTAAAACAGGTATTAAATGCAAGTCAATGCAAGCCAGAGTGACAGGGCAGAGGGGGAACATTTTTGCCAGGCTCCCAAATAAGATTCAAAAAGATGAAATAGATGACAGAGTGAGAGCTGCTCAGTTGTACCACATATTACACATGTGCATTAACACACTTTTTCCCTTTAAAAAGAAAAAAAAGTGCAACTTAAAGGCACATTTTCTCTCTTAGATCTGCCTAGCAGGTCTCACTTTTGATATTTGGAAACATCTACCTCACAGGGGCCTTGAGAGGGTGAACATCAGGGTCAAAAACCCCCATATGGCTCAGAGAAAAGAACTTTTCCTTTCAGCTGGAGAGGAGAATAAGGTCATTGACATATTAATGAATCTTGTAAACTGCCTTAATGAAGTTCTAGTTTTCTTTGCCTTTTTCTGAACTCTGTCACTCCATTATACATGTAAATTTAATTTATTTTGGAGTATATTAAATTTTCTGCTGTACTAGTTGCAGTAAGTAGTAGTTAGAAGTTAAGAAAACAGAATTCCATTCCTCTGTTAGTAGGGAAACAAAAATATATGTGCCAGCTCCCTTTGCTGCACCATCAGCAAAAAAAAAAAAAAAGAATTGTTATATTTACCAGCCCAAAATTTAATTATTTTAACTCTTTTCACATGCTTGGAAGTTCATACACAATTCCCAGCCTCAGCAAAACAAATGTAATCAGTCTAAGCAAGCACATACGGAACTTGAAGAAAATTCTAAATTTCACATAAAAAATTAAGGGGGAGGGAAAGACAATTAATTTCCAAACAGCCTTATGAAAACATTCAAACAATAAGGAAAAGAAAAAAAAGAAGCTGTGCAGAGACTTTTTAACTTACCACAAGAGTAAAGTACACCGTAAAGAAAAATGATAAACTACTTGTGTAGCCAAGAAAGCCTGTAAAATAACAGTAAAAATAAAAGAGAATTTATAAGGAAAGTGATCCTAATGTACAGCTAAAGCTTTACATTTTAGGCATGTTTTCTATTACAGTGCTTGGTATCTGGGGCTTAGGACTCAGAATAACAACATTCCAAGTGCCTGTCACAGATCATTTATGTAGTTTTGTAGGGCAGAATTAGAACTGGCTTACCACTAATGGCATGCTGTAAGTAAATGCAGCTCTTTAATGTTCTGCTGTAAAGATTTTATTTTAGTATTGCAGACAAAATACTACTGCAACCCAAGTAATAGGTTAACTAGGCAGGGCTGGAAGGCAGAACACACTACAGCAACTGAAGTAATCACCACCACCAGCAGCCCCCTGCCAGTTTAAATAAATAAATAAGCCATTAAGGTTTTAAAGTCTTCAACTGTAATTGCTACTCAAGTAGAATAATATTCTCTTCTCTCCTTTAATTACTCACCAATTTTAGGAAGAAGGGCAAGAGGAAAAACAATGCAGACTGAAGTGAGCAGCAGCAGCAGCCTCCCATCGAGGTACCAAGACCTGGTGGAAAATTGATTTAGGTTTGATACAAAGCTCAGGAGTCCTAAAAATATGTTCAACTTAGAACTGTGCTCCTAGACAAAGCAACCACTAGGACAAGAAAAAATAATTTCCTGTCTCACATGCTATTTACATGGATTTGTACTCCTAGTTTCTACACTGATATAAAACAGAGCTCCCAGATAATCTTCATTCTGCAAGCAATGTTCCACAGGCAAGTGTCTGCATGGATCAGGGCTCTGATGTGTGCCAATTCATAATTCTCATCAGCACAAAATGCAAATCCCTGCCTTGATTCACAGCAATGGTCAGAGGGAAGGGCATTTCATACTCTAGAGATTTCCAGCAGTATTTACACAGCACAGTGTGTGTCTAAAACTGGGCTACAATGAGCTGCACATTTACACACCTGAAGAAACAGCAACATCAATTCCCACTCACTGCTGAGCTGCCCTTCCTTGCCTACATCCATGAAAGATGTAAAGGACAGAAGGGATGAAAATTATGCTGATGAAATTTGGTAGAATGTTTATACATAAAACCACACATTAAAAAAGCATTGTAGAAGCACATTAAGTCCTCACACATTTAAAATATATTTAAAGCACCAAAATCCCATCTCTGAAGTGAGGAAAGCACAGATGGATAAGTTGTTAAGGAACAGAAACATTCTGAGGGTGCCTGCCCTGACTTGGCAATAACCATATCCTGTACTGATAAATATCTTGCACATCAGCCTCCAACTTTACCACCTATAAACACCCTGACTTTTGACCTTCCAGTTTATTTAGTCCAGGATATGGTTAGCACCTAATAAACAGGCAGCACCTCAAATTATCATGAGGGAAGTCCCATAACACCTGTGTTAAAGCAGAATTATCATACAGGTATTTTTACTACTGCTGTACAAAATGGACAGCCATTTGAGTCACTTGTTTGGAAAGAAGGTGTAATGTAAACAGAGAAATTTCAAGTTTGAGGGCATGTTCACTGTATCAAACCCAAAGCAACCATTAGCTGACAATGTCTGTACTAAAAATGAGTGAAAATACATCATTCTTCAAAAAGTGTATTATTCGTTCTGTCTGCTACTGCTATAGTAAAGAAACAACTTTGCCAAAATCAGCTTCTTGCTGTAGCATTTATTCTTCATTCTTATTCTTATTCTTATTCTAATTATTTATCATTCATACATTTTTAAACATTTTCTTTCTTTCTTTCCAGTCTGGTGATGTTCAGATTAGGAGGATCAGCATCATGGCAGAGAGCATAAGGATCATGCACTATGTGGAGATGTGGGACCTCAGTTTAAATCTCCTGATTGCAAACCCACAGCTGCCACTGAGGTTCACAAGCTCAGCAGAACAGACAGAAAATTATTTTGGTTACTTTATGGTAAATGAAGAACCATTTGTTTAGGGGGGGGGACAGAGAGGAAAATAGCAGTGAGGAAATGAAGGAGAAAAAGTAATTTTGTACACTGCTTCATTCTGGAATACCACTTCTTATACTTAAAAAGACCTCAAAAAAGTCCATATTGGGCTGGTTATTGGAAAATGTGTCCATTTGCTCCTCAAAGTACTGATGTAAATATGCTGTTATTTTCCAAAGGCAGAATAAATGTTTTGATAGTGCCTTTAAAATCAATCTAATCTGTAAATTTAATCCTACATGAGAAAAGCATTCAAAATATGAAATACAGAATATAAATCCTTGACTGTGCTGAAAAAGCTTTGGCATGCAGATGTTTCTCCTCCCTCCCCCTTATTTTAACTAAAAGCAGACATTTATAAATCGCTTTAATTTCATTCCTGAATTCAACAGAACAAGATATTCATATGTTCTAAATTAGGATCTTACTCTCAGTTCATATCAATTATACAACACACAAGCAAGACAACTTAATTGCATCAATCACATCCTCTGACAGGGTCATTAAATGTTAACAGAGGGCTCACAAATTACAACTTTTTAACACAATCCTCATTTGAAACTATGTTCATGTCATCAAAACTATGTGGAATTCTGGTTATGCAGACAGAAACATCTCCACTCACATTAGTAAGTGTTCATACTGTGTGGTTTTGTTTTTTAAAAAGACATGAGGATGTGTTAGACTGGCTCTGAGCCTCTCAAACACGTGCACACCTGCTAACCTCTACCTATAAAAATAATTTAATGCACAGACCATTCTGTAAATGGCTTTCCCAAATGCACAGCTCAGGAGGGTTTATGCATATAAAATACTTTCACAGATAGTTTAACTGACATTTTTGATACATCCCAACTCCAGTTAAGATAAATTCTGCACCAAATGAAAGCGTATCAAATGCTATAATGACTTAACAAACACAGAACAGTTGTGCAATCCCATCTGGAAACAAGTGCTCCAGGTAAAAAAGTGAATCAAACTATTCAATATTTATGCCCTTTGAATAAACAAGTTGCTTCTTAGGCTTGGTATTTGATTACCTATTTTTGTTGAACAATTTCCTACCATTTAAAAGGTCAGCTAGTAAAAATGTACACTTAACATCTGCAAAAAAAATACACAGAAACAAAAGATTATGATGTAGCATGGCCATTCATATGGCAAAAGAAATTAAATATAGATGTGGGCACACTTATGTGCATATTCCTGGAATACTGCTTGAGAAATGCACTGAAACAGTTTGCTTGGACAAATACTAGAGGAGGGAAATTGTGTTAAATAAACATTGATTGGTGCAAGAACTCCAATTTACAGAGGCAGAAACTGCATGAGACCAGGTTGCCAATCACCTAAGCATGGAGCTGTGGTTGGGATTCCTATGGACAATTTCAGCTCTTTCTGAGTGCAAAGCTGAGCTTCATTCCCACCTCCAACTGCAGGTTCAGCTAAGGAAGAAGCAGGGCTGCTGGCAGATCACTGAGGATCGCAACAGGTAATGTAATTTGTAATGAACAGCTCAACACTGTAACCTGGGTGCTCACATCAAGGAGATCTGAGGTAGAACCTGGGAGCATTATCCCACAGGCACCTTAACGAAGTTTTCACAGGGCTTTTTTCAGACAGAACAACCCTTGGAGCAGCACAGGGTTGAACCTCCACGTTCTACCTACCAGGAGTTTTCTTAAGCTGTTTCAAAATGTATCTTTGCTGGAAGAAAATTCACTTTGCATAAACAGAGCTGACATAAAATTAAAACCAGTTGTAAGAGATGTTAGATCCTAAATCTGGGGTTAGACAGACTGGGTTAGACATGCAGCAGATAGAGCAGCAGCTCAACACCACTGTGTATGAAGAGTCTGAAATATGAGTTTGGAGGAGAAGGTTAAAGCACCCAAATGAAAAGCTGATAACTACCACAGCTGGAAGAGATACATTAGCAGACTAAAAATAACATACATGCAGATATAAAATGTAATATACACATATATACACATATAAAATGTAATAGTTTAGAAAAAAAGAGAAAACTGACAAAAAACCTTACTAAAACTCTGAGGGCCCAGAGGGCAGAAAGCAAGATTATAGCCACAGTTAATTTTTCAAACTCATTATAAAATCCAGAAGTGGCAAGTGATAAAACAGAAATTTAACTAAAGTACCTTTTAACAAACTGATTTCCCACTTAAAATTCACCCACAACATTCAGAAATAATACAAGCATCACACAGCCTTGAGACAATTTCAGCACATTTCAATCCAGAGCAAGTTTTGAGCTCAAAACATCTGAAAATAGCAGTTTGGAAAAACAGCTGTAAGGCACTCCAAGATACACTGTAAGGAATGACAGGAGCATGGAACAACTCAAACAAGATATTTCAGTGCTGAAGCTGCAGTGTTTGCCTTCGATTTCTTGTGACAGTTCCAATGGAAATGTGAGGGACACACTCCTTTACAGCTCAACTGCAAAAAATAACTTCTTTACTGGGAGCCAAGTTTAGGAATTATAAACCAAGTCTGGAAACCTGGCATTTTTCCCAAGCCAAGTCCAATTACTAGAGCGAGACAACAAAATATTTCCATATAAATGCCTGCCATTTTTTGTACTGTGATTTTGAATTATGTGAAGTGATAACATGACAGCAGTGGAAATGTTTCTTCTCCTCTCCCTCCCAGCACCTTCCTGCTTCCCCTTTTACAATATTACAGGAAGGAGATTCCTGTAGATGGAGTTTTGCCACTGACTTTAAGGTCGTAGGATAGGAAATCACCATGAGGAAAGAATCACGCTCTGTGTGTGTGTGCTGCAAATGACCTGCACTTGCCAAATACATTTCATATTCCAACAACTCATGTAAATGACTATTTAAATTCAAGTGTGAGAGCAGAGAAGTGTCAGCACACATCACTTTCAGCAGTGCTGGACCTCTTTTTTCTTCAGGACAAACACAGAATGCTCGAAGCATTTTTCCTTACCCGCTCTCGGCTCCGCTCAAAAGCCCAGCAACAGCCCCAGGAAGTTCAGACTTGACAATTAACAGATAAGATGACATGGCTGCAAACAGAAGCAGGACAGATTTAGCAGGGGACCAGCAGCATCTCAGCCAGCAGGGCTGCACCAGCAGGGCTGTGCCTGGAACATCTCAGCTCCGCGTGAGACACCGCGGCACCAGAACCAGAATTTATTTTCTCATATACTTCCTTTAAAAATAGCTGCAAGTTCTGCACCGATGTCAGCTAATGCTTCCAAAGAGACTCTTACAGTGTGAGTCTTGAAACAAGGAAAACATAACCCAAAGGACTAAAAGGCAAAATAATGTAATATATAGGCTTGTCCTTCTACCTGGAATACAGACCTACAGGGTAGAGAGAGACTGTAAGGCTGCAGCATCCTCCCTCCTCTTCATGAGACATGATTCATGATGAGAGTAAATAATATTTGTTTCTCTCAATACAACAGGGTTTTTTAAAGACTGAGTTTTCATAGTTGTTCAATTGCTGTTGTACTAAATAAATACAAGGCAGAAATTCAAACACAAGTATAGGACTTGAAAGGGATTTTTTATATACTGCAAGGTTTGGCCCTTAGAGCTAAGAGGATTATCAGTGACGGATCCCTGCTTCTCATGACAAATCCATCACCAACAAAATCCCAACAATAATAGCAAGTGCAGAACTGTACAGGAACTGTGAAGCAGAAGAGAAATTATTAGCTACTCTTACAGGATTATTGACTTGAAATTAAGTGCTTCTAATTCTATTCAGCAGAAAGCAGTCCAAAAGCTCCTTCACAGTGCCACTTTTCTCCTTCACTAAATACTGTGATCAAAGGAATGAATGAGAGGTTTTTAAATCCCAATTTATACCAGTCTGATTCCTTCACATACTCTTCATGTTGCTTTTTTATGTAACCAACAGAGAACTACTCAAAAAATCAAGCTTTACAAACAGCTTCAACGAGCATCAAAGCCTAAGTGAAACTAATTTCCATCCTGCAGCAGCAAGTCATTTTAATAATAGTAAATAGTAATTTTAGTAAATAGTATATAGTAATTTTAGTGTTACATTCAATCCCTGACAAAAACTCATCTGTTGTACTCAAATCTTACTGTTCTGTATTTAGTAATTCTTTAGAATATTACCACAGTGTATTTATTCATGCTTTAAAATTAAAACATTACATTTTGAAAAGGCAAACCTTCATAAGCTGATATTTGAATAAGTTTGTGGGTTTTTTTTAATCTAAGGACTTTTTTGAATCTTAAAAGATGTGAGGACTCAGACACTGCTGTACTACAGCAGTCACTGTTAAATTTTTAAGAAAAAGTAAGGTGGTCCCAATAAAGAAATAGAATTCTATTAACACAAAGTGACATCTACCTACCACAAGGTTAAATTAAAACCATTTGGTAAGTCACTAAATAATAATATTCACTTCTTCACAATTAAAAGCTCTGGTTTTTCCCAATGTTTATGTATCTTTAGTGACATGCAGCTGTTGATTGTGTGTGCTGAGGTATTTATCTGCTGTCCTGATTTACTCTCCTATAACAGAGCATATTTTCAACCAGAGAAAATTACAGCATGCAGATTTCTAGATCACTAGAATTTGTAAGTAAATTAACCCAATTTTTCATGCTAAGTTGCAGGCAGCTGCATATTTCATTCTAATTTTTTTAAAAAATGAAGTGGGGAAGGAGGGAAAGGAAAATTCCTCTAAATTGCAATTCAACCTTATTTACCCATTAGCCTTCCCTCCTGTATGATACAACACTTTATACACAAGCAAGTCAGAATTTTCATATATTTATGTCCTTCAGAAAGATTTCAAACCCAGTTCTTTTGCAGTCTCCACTGCAGAAGCCTTCAAATTAATTTCCAGATCAGATTTCCTCCAATATGCAATCTGTCACTCTGCCCTTGCATTCCTATTAGCCTCTGGCTAATCACTGGGTCACTTATCCTTTGTTGCTCACTCTTTGTTTTTGAGAGGAGTCTTATTTCACTGAATTCCACTCCTAAGGAGGGAGCCAGTCCTGCACCAAGAAAATTGTGCATGTTGAACATTTGTGTGCATCTTTCTTCCTTTCTCTGGGCATGTGGGAAACAATCTCACATAGCAGGATTTTTTATATTCTCTTGTTTTTACTAATTGAATATTTTAAAATATATTAAATATCTATTGAATATTAAAATGTATATTAAATAATTATATTTATATCCTGATGTTGGAATCCTAGGTAAAAAAATTATTTCATTTAAATATTGATTTTTGTTTAAACAAGACCTGAATCTTGTACATCACTCTGAGGAAGATGCCCATACTTAAAACAGTTAAAAAAGCCAAATTCTGCTTTTGGTTCATTTGCAAACACAGTGTTAATTCTCCTCAGAAGAAAAAACTCTTCATAGTTTTCCTTGGCATGAAGACACAAACCACTGTGTAACTCTGCAACACACTACAGAGTGAGCAAAGAGCATGGTTGGTTTGTTTTTTTTAAAGATGAAACTAAAACAAGAAAAGCTTAACAATGTGACAGTCTTTTTCTACTTGAGGAACTGAGAGCACAGAATGAGACAGACAAAAAGTGAGATATCCTTTGCCCCAAATAACAATCTGAACCTCACCTCCCTGACTCAGGTTGTGTTGCACAAATGAAACCTCAGCTCTCCCTGGCAGCTTTGATGTGCCAGGGAAGGAAGAGATCTCACAGCCACAGGCTGAGCTGTGACACAAGAGAGCACAACAAAAAGCACAAGATCCTTGTGCTCTGATTTACCCTGAAATGCTGCCATGAGACACCTATTCCAGCACTGAATTCCAGCTTTCCTGCAGAACAAACCCTCTGCAATGCCCTGCTCTGAGGCTGCAGCAAGAGGGGGATGCCACAAGGGCTGAACCAGAATTAAGTGAGCAACTTCACATGGACACTTCCTAATTTTCAGGTTCTGAATTTGCATGTATTGAGTTAGTTTGAGGTAATTTTCAGTATGCACCTAGAGATACTTAATGGAGAACAGTTCTGAACTCCCCAACAGGCCTTGATACACCAGAACTCAGCAGAAATCATAATTATGTTATTAGTTAATTATTCTGTACATTTACACTGTGTTGAAAGGTGTAAGAAATATTACTCTTAAAATACCTATCACTCTGCCATGATCTCAAAACTTGCTATTAGCTCTTTGACAGAAAACCAAAAAGTTTATTAAAATATAAAACAGAGTAATTGCTTTACACTTGCATTACTGCAGCCTGCAGTGCCAGCATGAGCTGTGACTCTATAAATACACACAGCATGCATACATTATTCAGAATGTCTGTGCTGTGCTACCAATACTGCTTAACACTGACCATATGCACCCCTATCTGAAAAAACAGCTGCTAGAGAAAAGGTTGTTTTTTAAATAATCCTCAAAATACCTCTTCTGAGGTAGCCCAAAGTTAAAATATGTGGGTGGTTGTTGGGTTAAAAGAAAAAAAGTGTAACTTTTTCTGATTATCCTACCCAAAAAGAGACCAAGTGCTAAAGTCCATAGCAAGGAAGTCAGAGAATGTACAATAAACTTATAAGTAAACATAGAATTTATGGTGATAAATCCTTCTAAATAATTTCCTTGAAGGGAGTGACTCTTCTGGTCAGCTTCTCCTCATCTGCCACTGTAGGTGATGGTATCAGAGCCCTGTAAATGTCTTGCATTTTTAAGCACTGTGCAAAGATGGAAACAAGCTCCCCTCCAAACTTCCCCCAGGAGAAGAGAGGGAGTTACTGGTTTTAATATGTCCTTAGTGAAAGCTTTAAAAAACAATGTTGGGATAATTTCTTTGGTTTTAAATACAGATTTAGAACGGAGTGTGTGACAGAAGATGTAATCCTTGTTCATACAGAGAAATTCCAAAAACTCAAACAAGTTGTCAATTTCTTTGCTTGTCCTTCTATTATGGAGACTCATCCTGATGAATTTCTGTTCCCCTGCTTCCTTTTCCTTCTATCTTTAGCTTTTACCTGAATTAGTCTGGAACTTACCTATAGCAAGCTTAAAAAACAAAAAATCCTTATTGTACATGGAACACACAGGCAGCAGATTTATTTTGGTAAAACTTCCTTAGTTATAAGTGTACATTTAGGCTAAAAGAACAGAAAAGTTTCCTGCATAGCTCATCACATATTCCATTCCATTCAGCTGCAGGCTCATATTTCTGTATTTTTTTTCTATTATTTAAAGCAAGCTTAATATTTTTCACAATATCAAACCTTCCATTCACTGCAATAGGAAAACACAGGAGCATGGGTCATCAATTGTTAAATTAGTACAGGAGCTGACAAACCTGCCCTTAATTAAGGCAGCTCTGCACTGGAAATCTTCACTTTGAATCAGTCAGGATAATTAGGCTTTCAGGTCAAAAGTAAACCATGCTGTGAAAACAAACATTTGAGTTTGTTTGAAAACAGAATTAGATTTCCCATACTTAAAGGAAGCTCAGTAATTTCTTAAGGTATTAAGGATGCAGGTCTCAGCATGAAAAAAAAAAAAGAAAAAAAGCTGTATTTTGTTTTATTTTATTTTATTCCTCCATGATTTGCACTGTTCATTCATTGTCAAAGTTTCTGGAGTATTGTTCTCCCTGATTACACAAAGGTTATTCCCATCTGCCCCTCCAGTCTGAAAAAATATTTGCTTTATTTAAATTTGAAAGAAATGTTGCAAACATGTTTAGAAGTGAACTGCAGAATGGATCAATTGGGAGGGGAGAAAAAAAGAAAATAATTTGCAATTAAAAAATGCCCACTTAGCTTGATAAAAAGAGGGGTTTATTAGTCTCTGCACAGCACCACTAAGCAGGCACTCACAGAAAGTATATATATATATATATATGTATATATATATGGAGGGGGAGCTAAATGAAATATTTCACTGTTTACCTCAGAAAACCAAGGGCAGGGGATGTGGAAGCCGGCGGGAGCAGCTGGAGGCTCCCGAGGCGCCGGGCTGCCGGCAGCTCTCCCGGGAGGGCAGCCCAGGCCAGCAGAGGGTGGTGCTGCCTCTGAAATTTCTGCTTTGCGCAGCGGCTGCGCCTCTCCACCGATTCCGGGAAGCTTGAAAAATACCAAGCACGCGATTGTAAATACTTATTTAGGGTGTCTTACACCCACAGCAGGGTCTCTGTGTGCTGCCTGTCACCTTGGCTGGATGAACAGGCCATAAAATCTACAGAGCAGCATCACCCATTGGAACGAATCTTGTGACTCCCAGCAGCATTCAGGCAGTGCTGGGGATCCCTCCAGGGACACAGAATTTGAGTTTTGTCCTCATCACTGATTCTCACAAAGAAGAAAAGTGCGTACCTTTGAGGACACGTGGAAACAAAAAAACAAAAAGCACCAGTTATAGAAATTACATTGAATTAAACTGTATTTATGTAAGAGAACAAATAATTCTTTGTAAACGTAAGAGAGCTGTCTGGGAAGTTTAGTTCCTAAGAATGACTGCAGTGGCAACCTGGGGACAAGCCAAGGCAGGTTATCTGAAGAAACTGAATAAAATATATATTGCAAAAATCCTCATAGAGACCACCTAAGCTACATGGTGGTACTGCAGGTTGTACTGCAGCACAACATCCCACTGTTAGTAAATTTGAAATGATTAAACTCCCATTCTCAGCAGTCTGGAGTGATGTCTGTGTGATCACAGCCACCAGCCATACCTCAGCAGCAGTGACCTCCAGCTGATGGCAGCCCCAGCCTGGGAAGCACGCTGCAGAACTCCACATGCTTCCTGCTAAGCTCAGAGCTGGCATTTGTTAGTGCTGCCAACGGGCTGAGAGCTGCTCTTGTGCAATAATTTATTGTGTTTGTCTCCATTTTTCCACCAGCCTTGCTAAAAATCAGCCCTTCTCTAACTTTATTTCACATGCTTTAGGAGGTCTAAAGATTTTCTCTTGGGTACATGGCTGTGGACTGTCATTCTTTTCAGTCCCATCCACAGAAAGGACAATTCTAGAAGGAGAAATTGCTGTTCTCCTTCCTCCCCTGCACCTGGGAATCTCCCAAACTTCCTTGGTGGGGAGAGGGAAGGGCTGTGTGACTGCCAGCCACAGCTCTGGCCCACTGTGCCTCATCCATCACTTCCTAGAAGCACAACCCCACTGAACAATAGCAGGGAATGCACCCAGCCCCAGCTGCTCCTGGAGCAGCAGAGCCGTGGAACTCAGCATTTCCAGCAGCCTCCCTTTTCCCTGGGTGCCTGCAATTCCTCAAGGGCTCTGTCCCTTCTCTGAGGGCACCTGACACCATCTGGGAGCCTTCGAGATCCTCCTCAGAGCAGGTGAGAAATGGCCACAGGGAAGATCACTGCAGAGGAGATGTGACAGGAAAGGGTTGGGAGGAGCAGATGAACAAACCTGAGCAGCCTGGGAAGCGCAGTTTGACATTTCCCTTTTCCATGTGCTCTTTGCACCCCACACACCAAACAGCCCTGTCAGGAACAAGGCAGTTCTTGGGACTGATTACATTAAAGGATCATCTCTCAAAAAACTGAGAAATGGAATGTAAAAATCAGCAGCACTGGCCATCCCATTCAACCTTTTGTTTTCCCTCATTAACAAATACCTATTTACAAGAACATACTCATTATAAGGAAAGCAAGGCAAATGTTCTCCAAGTTTAGTCACTCTAAGCTCATATTTAATACTCTTTTCAGTTAGGGCATTAAAATTAGAATAATTTACATTTGGATATTGAAAAGTCAACTCAGTGTCCTGGTGCATCCTTAGTTAAACTTGGTACTTTAATAGATTTGATTTGTGTTACATGGATTCATTAAATGCCTTCCAAGGGACAATTAAAAATCTGCAGGAAAAGTTGCATGTTAGAGATGCATGTTAAAATTCCAAACAAAAAAATGTACTTGAAAATCTGAACCTTAATTTGACCAATCATGCTTTCCTGCAGCTGTACAAAAATGGGGTTTTTTCCCCTTGGGTATCCTGGTAATAGAAAAAAATCAATTCCCCTATCTACACAACTCCCTGAGTGTATGCAATTAGAATGTCAAATTCAAATTTACACATTAAGCTTTCTTTTAAAAACACACAAAGATGACAAACTGGAAAGCATAACTATTAAAATTATTACTAAAGTGCTTTCTCCACCACAAATTAATATAAATCACTTCTGCACTCAGGCTATTTTTAGAAGGGATCAGAGCAAACTTTAAAAAAAGCCCAGACAAGATGCAGATAGTGACAATAACCCTGGTGTTGTTGCTTAATCACAAGCCATCTTTCATTATCTCATGCTCTCTAATCACTTCTGAAATGAGATACCGTGTGATGCAATGCACCCAGGGCTGATGGTGGCAGAGGTAACACAAAACAATTTTATTTTTAGCCTTCCTCTGAAATCAAAGATGTTGACAGAGTGTGGATGTCTGCCCAACAGGGCTCCTGGTTCCTTCAGACAGACAGACAGACAGACAGAAAGAGGGGAGCACAGCAAACCAGCAGGACAGGCAGAGCCCAGGTTTTACACTTAATGCCAGCATGGAACAAACTACACTCCACAGTTCTGCCACGTAAAATCTGCAGAAGGACCAGAAATATAACAAAAATTGTTTTCTTTTGTCACAGACATTTTTCACAGAAATCCTTTCTTTCAGATTTCTGCATTTCCTGGGAAGCAGAAGCCCAGAAGAGAATGTAAACAATTGTTATCAACTGCTGTAGAATACAATAAGATGCACCTGTGATTAGTTCATGTTCCCATGTTTATAATTAAGGGCCAATCACAGGAGCAAGCTGGGGACAGAGTCCCTAGACACAACTTTGTTATAGATTCTTTCTTTCTATTCTTAGCTTAGCTTAGCAGCTCTGCAACTTCTCTCTTTATTCTATTTAGTATAGTTATAATGTATTATATATCATATATCAATAAATCCAACCTTCTAATCCAGAAACAAGATTCTCGTCCATCTCTCACCACCCCAGCGACCCACTCAAGTCGCTGTAATATTCTTTCCATGCAGTTCTTTAGGAGTCAAAGCTGTGTGAGAAGTGAACTGTTCATATCTGCAGCACAGTCACCTTCATGGGGGACTTGACTCCAGCATGCACTGGGGTTTGGGGCTCCAGAGTTACTGAGCTGAATTTTATTAAAATGGCACAGAGGAAATTATGGACTGTGATGAAGAAGAAATGAGAGTTGTATTTCCTTTGACAACAGTCTTGTTCATGATGCCAGAATCTCCAGGACCTGCTCTGTGTATCCCTCCTTCTCTTGTACTGTTTATTCAGAGGTGCACTCAAACAGGAAAGGAAATGAAAAGATTTGTTCATTGCTACAGAACATCCTCTAAAAGCTGTATGAATAAATAGTCCTTAATCTTGGAATTGCTATGGTCACTCCTGCCTAAAATTAATGCTTGGCGTTTTACAGCCATTTCATTATACTGGAACTTTTAGTACAAGAAAATATTCCAAGTTTATAATGAAAACACAGTTACTTTCTCTAGTTCTAGGTGCTTAGACAGTGACAAAAACCAGCAATCATTGAATTATCTGGACTTGACAGTAATCTTAAAGAAAAGAAGAGCACTGGAATGCTGTTTCCTTCTGCAGATGTATGTGAACATGGGTATCCCATGGTGGTAGGGAACAGAGGAGGGAGCTTTTAAATTAGATAATTCCCTCATTTAAAAGAAAGCATCCAAAACATTTACAACAAAAGAAAAAATAAAACTGTTCTATTAGACTTCAAACTTTCTACTTTCAGAAAAATAATTTCTAAAGACTTAGTGACTGTCAAGTATGTGAGCAAACCTGAGGAAGAGTCCAAGTACAAAACCAGGGAGTGTTTGTTTTATTATGCCATGTATCAAGAAAGACAAAATAATGAACAGTGGAAGGGGACAGCCCACATGATATAAGTCAGGAAGATAAACTCCCCCAAAAAACAAGTTATTGAGCTAAAAAAAGAAAGCTGCCATTAATGCAAAACATATGAAACATCATAGCTAAGTAAACATCCACTTGCTGCACAAATCACTGAAATGCACAAGCAGGTTCCAACAGCAAAGCCCAAACCACATGATCTGACAAAATGCAGCTCCAGATCCAAAAGTACAGAAGGGCAGAGAGGAGATGCTGCAGCCTGAGCTCCTCCCAAGGAGCAGTGCAGCTCATTGGGATGTGCTCCACACCCTGGGGTGCAGCAACAGGCAGAGAAGCCAACCCCCAAAATTCCCTATCTATCCCATAACTACAGCCCTTCTGCTCAGCACCATCACCAAAGCCTTTCCCTTAATTTTCTGTCCTTTTAAACAGTTTCTTAAAAATACTTTAATTATTGCCTTTGACGCTGGTGGAGCTTTGAAGCCTGTCACAGATTTAATACTGAGCATATGAAGTCTCTTACCTCCAATATTCTGGATAATTATTGTAGTTGCAACAAGGACCTATAAAAAAATTGATTTCTTTAGAAAGGGTAAGAAGGATAACTAAAATCATATGTCTAGAGCAGGCATAAACCACATGTGTATTATCTTAAACACACCAGATGTAGCAGTGATAAAAAGTCCTGAAAGGAAGGGAATCTTCTCCTTAGTGAGGAGTTTAACACATGGAAACCAGCACAAACCAAAATGAACATGGGAACAAAAATCCTTCCTGAAAATATCACATTTTTATTGTGAGACAAAGCAAGAGTAATCATACAGTGAAGGCTGTTGTGCACAAGAGAAGGTTTTTAAATCAATGAAAACATAAATGCATTCTAACTGATATCAGGTGAATACAAATGAAAACTATCATTTATCTCTGACAGACAGCAGAGATTTGTACAGTACTTCCTTATTCCTGAATATTTCTGACTGTCAGGAATGTCATTGTTTTTTAAAACTTGTAAACAAGATAGTCTTTTCCTTAACACTTGTGGTTATTCATACTGGACTGATATGGAAGCAAAAATGATGACAGGCTATTAAAAAACTTCTCTGAATCCAAGAAAATTAATTTCCAACTGAAAAAAAAACCCCTCAAAGTGGCTATAAAGTTTTTCCATTGTTTTCTTTTGAGTTTAGCTGCAAAATACCATGATCATGAGCTTCAGTTTTCTTTCTGCCCACTGCTCTTCTTGATATAGGACATTTCCTAAATAAGCACTGCCATGAAGTCAGCTTGGAAAAAAAATGAGGCTACAGTAATGAGAAGAAATACAAATCTGGCCTTTTGAAAAAAATAATTTCAGATTTTAAATTAATTCAAAATCAGTTCAAAACTCACCAAGGAAAGGAAGAAAAAAAAAAAGATATCTTGGAATTTGTCATAGATGGAAACAAATAGTTCACACCTTTGGAAAGGGAGAATCAGCAATCTTCCAGCAGCAGAATATTTCCATGCTAACAAATCTCAGAAAAATACATTTGAAAGGAAATCAGCAGGTTGAGTAACTGCTCTAGTTCAAGAGTAGTTAACCAGTAGCTTACTCAAACCAAGCTGCCAAATAAAGCAAGGTTCTGCACTGCCCTGGCAGTGCCATCCCCTGTGTGTGAGGGAGAACTCAGTACTGCTGCAGAGAAAAACAAACAAAACAAAAAAGTCATCTGTGCCTGACTGAAGTGAGAACTATTCAGGGACAGATAAGAATTCAGAATGGTTGTGGTGAAGCAGAAAAGCCTAAAAATCAACAAGATCAGTTAAAAGCAAGGCATTCAGGAAGCAGATCTCAAATACAGGACTTTAGAGCTACTGGATTGCAAAGAGAAAACAGTCTGAGATAATACACTCAAAAGCAGCAAAGCAAACAACTTTTAAGAAAAGTGTATAAATATCAAAGATGTTTCACAACTATTCCAGAAAACACCAGTTCACTAGGAAAGCTTGGTGAATTTTGATTATTTTATCAAAAGAACAGCTTCCCAACACAGAAATATTCCAGTGCTCTCCATGCACACTGAAAATAAAAGGCCAGATAATTTTCAGCATGGATTACTTAAACTGCAAATAATGAAACAGTGTATTAAGAAGAATTTAAAAAGAAAATACACACATTGAGTATGATGTGAAGCTGTGAAATCTCCTTCACTTCAGCTTTTAAATAACAGATTAGACAAACATCTGCCAGGAATGGTTTATATATGTTCAGCCCTGCTTCAGGGCAAAGGCAGAGTCACATTTTAGTTTCTTCTTAAACTCTACATTTCTATGACTTTTTCAAGTAATGGCTCATGGTTAATGTGTACAGAACAGCTCCTGTAAAAAATAACTGTCTTCTTCCTTGCTATTATCAAGGTTTATTATCTCTGGAGGTTGATCACTTGTTAATTTGATCAATAAATATTGATCCTCAGGCTACACTCATCTGCTTATAAATGCTAATGGAAGCCTTACAAACACCTGACAGCTCAGGCTTAATCCTCACTGACATTTGGATAAAAGAAAGCAGTCTCTAGCCTGTTAAGGCAAACTAATTTTTAAAAGTTTGCATTGTTTCAGAAAAACATTAACATCACACTCGTGTGGGGTAAAAAAATCTGTTTTCAGTAAGGTGTAACTGGAACACAGAGCACAGAATTCACAATTAACAAATTCCCATTAAATGTGCTGTACTCACAGGCAGTAACATCGTTACTGGGAAAGAGAGATTCAGAACACACTACTAAAAAATAATAGTTAATGTTTAAAATAATGAGTTAAAATAATAGTTAACATTTTGATTAATCTTGTATCAGAAATGGTTATGTTTGATGGTGGCTTTGTTTGGTTGCTTTGTTTGGTTGCTTTGGTTTTTGGGGGTTTTGTTGGTTTTTATAATTATGAAACAAAACAAGTAAGAAACATTCATGTGAAGAGCTTATTAAACAAAAGGAAACAAGTAACAAACATTATTTGGACTCTCAGCTGTTCCTACAGTGGGAATGACATGAAAACCCATCCCTTATCTCAGATCCTATCAAATGCTGAAACACCAACAGCAAATCCACCACTTCCCTGGCTCTGAACACTTTTACAGCACAGGCAGGACTGTAGCAAACCTGAACCTTGAGCAACAATGCCAGTGAGCAATTTTTACAGACAACTAAAAGTGAACACCCTGACAGGAAAGCAGCACAAAATCTTGCATTTCAGGAGTGTAAATTTAACTCAAGTTTGGCTTCCAAAGAGCAGAAACACAAAATGAAACCAAATTAAAAGCTTCAGGCTGTCATGGATTTTTCAGCATACTATGGTGTTAGTAATATACTGTTAATTTTATTTATATTTCTTTATTATGCAAAGAATATCTGCAAATCAAAAGCATGAGACCAAGAAGAAAAACAGGTAAAAATGAATACTCACCCTTCCAGTTGATCCAAATGCAAAAAGGCCAAGGTCTTCATAAGAAGTGACAGCTGTTGGTAAGGGAAAAAAAGAAAAGAGCTAAAATTTCTCTAACTTGAAAGGATTGAAAGCTCTATTTCTGGCCCTTTTAAAATTAATAAAATTCAGGATTCAAAGAATATTTCATAGCATTTTCTACTTACAAAATAGCTTTTATATTCACCTGTACTCCTGCTACAAGATACAGCTTTATTTCAAACATTCAGAGACTCTTCAGAAACTCAATTTAGTACTTGCAGTTTCAGTATTTAAAATATAATACTAGTACATTAATAGCACATTAATTGCCTTCTCCCAAAGATTTTCTTTGTGGATGAAGAATTATGAAATTAGCATTAGCAATTAGATATTCTAAAGATATTTTTGTATTTTATATCTCAAAAGGGCAGGTTTTTTTTTAAATTAGGATGACAACAGAAGATGAATTTTCATCTTTCTACAAATATAAATATTACCATCTTCCCAGCTTTTAAGAAGTAAAAGCTATTTTACTAGCTCCTATCTATTTTCAAGAGAGCAGAAGGTAAACACTTTCTTTAGCTGAAACCTATTATTAAAAAAACCCAAAAGAAAACCCAAAGCAAAACAAAAATCCTGCCCTTACCTGCACCCCACTTACATAATTACATGAAAACAGCCTGTGGTTTCCTGTGTAATTTTGCTGGGTTTTAGCTGAAGCTCACTTCTATTATAACTCAGAACAATCCTCTCTCAGAGAGAAGGAACTCAGATTAAAGCCTCTCATTGTTACTCTGTATTTTGTTATCAGAAATTCAAGCAGTATCAAAAAGATATGAAAGTTTTGTGAGAAACACCACTCATTTCTTGGGGTATAATAAACAGCTGTTAATGCCTCAGAGGGAAAAATGAATCTGAAACCCACATAATTCTGTGGTTGGTTTCTCTGCCTTGGTTCTGTTTGGTACAACCCTGCTCCTGCTCCTGTCACAGTTTAATTGAGCCCCAGCTGTGCAAGCTGAGCTTTCCACACCTGAGAGAAGCCCCAGCCTCTGGGAATGCCACAAGGAGGGGACACACAGGCACCTCATGGGATCAGATGGCAGCACTGGAGCCTCACACCTGCCCAAGCTCAGCTGGTTTTATTTCATTTTAGTCCTGCACACAATCAGAGCAGTGCCCCAGAGGGGAACAGAACAAAACAAAAACAAACAGAAACCAAACCCAACAGAACTTCATGAATTTGCTCATATGGTTTTCTCAAGGGCAGTGTTTCCCATTCTGCTCTTCTACAGACACCAGCACATTCTCACAATATAAATAATATAACAAAACTAAATGAGCCAGAATCAGTGCTCAGCATAAACCTGGAACTGTCTCTAACAAATATCATTCAACAAAAAATATGTCTTACTAGGTTTTACCCTGTGTTTTTCCTAATTTCCATTTATAAAGTAGCTAATCACTACTAAACCACTAAAAAAAGCATTTTAGGTGCTTTTTTTAGTAGTTTAGTAGTATTTTAGTAGTTTAGTAGTATTTTAGGTAGCCATCTTCATTGCCATTAAAAAAAAGTCAGAAAAATAGTAAACATATTTAAGAGCAAGTTGTTTTTACCACATGGCAATAAATATATTATAAATAAATAAATATAAATATACATGGTGAATAAATACACATGTATGAGGAGTTATGAGCAAAGAGAACAAAATTTTCCACACAATTCCAAAAGAGCAATATGAAACCTTGGAGTATTTTCTGTAGTAGCTGTTTCTGTAATCAGCTTAGTCCTGTAAACACTGGGAAGCCCTATTACCTGATCACATTCCTTCTGTAATTTCAATAATATATGGAACAAAATATTTAGTGCAATTTATATAAAGATAAGTAAGTTCTCCCTGATTAGCTTATTTTTTATCATTTATTAACACTCCATGGAAATTATCCCTTTAAATGTGAAGGGGCCAGTACAGTGCCAGCAATATTTGTGACTGACTCCTAAAATGAAAAGTACAAAACAGCCACAAAACTTCAAAGTGCATCCCACTGAAATTCCCAATTCCTCTGCTTTACAGAGTAATCTCAGCCCTTATCAGCCCAGACCAACACAGGTCATACTGAATTAACACAGGACAAACACTGCCTAAACTAATCCCAACTCAACTCTTGACACTTGGCAATATTTTTTTGCTAAGCCTTTTGGTCTACACAAATCACTTGATTTTGTCAAAGTCCAGACCAACATAAACGAGTAACTGAAGACAATTCTTTGTTTTTGAACTGCAACTAAAATACTTGTGCTTGATAAATCCTGGCCTCTGTTTGAAATGGAATTAGTGCTTTCTTTTCAGAAGGTGTTTTATAGGTCACCTCTTTCCTAAATAATAGTTTACAAATAATAGTTTACAATAATAGTTTACTTTCAATGGTTCTGTTCATCACCTTTTGATTTTTTCTAGCTTGTTTTTAATATAAAAATACTGAAATTTCCTTCCAATTTTTTCCCATGGATTAAGTTTAATACTCCAACACTGTTTACAAATTAATATGGATTTTTTTTTTAAGAAAAAGTTTAATTAAGTACTTTGGAATCAAACACGTACAGAGATTTTACTTTGTCAAGGTACAAAGGTTGTATTTCCCATTTTTTTAAGACAGTGTTCCAAGGAAAAACTTGGAATGCTAGCTAACATTTAATTACTTCAATAGCTGACAGGAATGATAGAAAATATGATCTCAAAGCTTATTTTAAAAAAATCAAACCACAAAAGGTGATAAATCCAGCAAAGTTATCCAGACATAGTTGTGGTGCAAGTCCTACCTGCCAGCATGAGGTGATAATTAATTATTAGTTCCAGACTAGAGGAATTTTTCAGCTGCATGCATTTCAGAAATGCTTTCCTGAGGTGAACTGCTGCCTTTGGACAAGAACTGAGGAGTTAAAGCCTTCATTCATATCAGGCCTCTGAGCTCAGAACATCCAAATTGTTATTTCAATGAACTTAAATCCTTAATTCTCCCCCTCATCACAATTCTTTTGGAGGAATCTCTTTATTTTTTACTACACAACAGCTTAATGCCACTTAATGCCCAGAAAATACAGAACTTTTCAGCCCGAAGGAAGAGGTTTAAAAGGCCATTAAAATTACCTGAATCTCCCCTTTTTTTTTGCTTCTCATGTACCTCTCTAGCCTCATGTGTCAGGTTCTGATTCCTTTCTAATAAGCAGCACTCCAACAGGAGAAAAAAATTACCAAACCCTTAATCCCAAATCATCAAGCAGCCAACAATACCAAGCATAAAAGCAGCCCTACCTCTGAGGGGTGATTTTTAAGAATGGATGAAGAAGATCCCTCCAGAGGTGGGGACAGGAGCAGCAGATCTGAGAAGAATCAGGAAGCAATCATCTGAGAGACCAAAGGCAGCTAAAGAAAACACAGCCAAGGAGGAAAGAGGCAGCAGCTTTCTCCCACCACCTTTGAAAAGAGAGGAAAACAGATGAGAGGGAAACAATAAGCAGGGAAACTTCCTGCTGTAACGTGATCTGTGTGTAGCAGAAGTCAAGGAAAGACTCAGTTGTTCCAGCAGCAATTAAAAGAAGCAGGAATTAAAAAAAGGAGCAGATCTGACTGCAGGTATTAGGATGGATTGTTTGAGCTGTCTCAAAGCTGAGCAGTTCCCAAGGGCTGCACCATGACTTCCCATTCAGCATCAAAAGTGCTCTACAAGCTGCACCTATAAAGCACCACAAGAACAATGATAATCCAATATGATTGAAAAACCTGAAATGTATCCATTTCAAACCATGGACAAAAACATATGCACTACTCCTAGGAGAATGAAAGGCTGCTCTTTTATTGCTCTTAATCATTCACTGAAGTAGTGAGGTTCAGCCAGCACCAAAGTAATTTTGCTGCAGAAATACAGGATCCCTCAGGAAAGATAAGAGAGGCATTTGGAAAAAAAAATTAAATCAGAAACCAATCAGTTTGGCATTGGCTTTGCATAAAAAGACTCAAAATTCTGGTTTTAAATGGCAGATATTCATTGTTAAAACATTAATTATTTCAAGATCAGTCAATCAGACACCATTGTTAACTGCAATTTTTATACTGGTCATGTCTCTGTGATAAAACTGAGGAAATACTTGAGAGCTCACTGTCAGATAAATGCTTTGCACTTACCTGTCTGAGTGCACATACTGAGCAGGAGAAACACAGAGTAAGAAGCAAGGCTGGCAACAATCAGCAGCAAGATACTAAAAACCACAAAATATTCACAATTAAGCACTTTCACAGTACAATGCACTTTGGAGCTTTAAGAATGCTACTCTTGCAAGAACTAAGCTACAGGATTTCCTCATTTTATGGCTTTTATCTGCTGACTGTGGTTCACATGGTTTCTGATCTTCCCAATACTTGCCAAGTTGCCCTGATGTGTGGATTACAGAATGGCCATAACCATGGGAGTTTGTGTGTGCACACAAACACAAACACATCCCCCAGTGAAGAGAAATCAATGCTCAGGAAATGGACAAAGTGACAATTCCAGTGACTTTGGCCCCATTACCCACAGGTCAGCATTTGCAACAAGCAAAAGTGCAAACAAAAGCACGAGTTCATTCAGAGTTTTCAGCCATATCCATCCTACTCCACAAGGCCCATTCCTGGAGCTAAAGGAAACCAGATTTTTGAAAGGAAAATATCAATCTATCAGAAGTAATGGCCAAGAAATTGCCACCCTGTGGCAATTTAATGTAACATCTGAGTAGGACTTTTATTAGGTCAGATCTGAATGACTAAATCAAAAAGGGGAAGATCTTAATCAACAATTCTGAAAGGCACAAGCTATTTATTTCTTCCTCAGATTTGCACAGGAGTCTCAGTATTTTTTTTTCTTTAATTCAAACCTACAGTGGGAGTTTAGAAGTGAGTATATGTAAAAACTGAAAACTTACCTAAACCCCATGATCCCTGTGTTGGCCATGGCATAGGATAAGCCAAGTATCCCACTGCCCATGATTGCATTCATTAAGTTAAACACTGAGAAAGCAAAGGAAGAACCATGACTTGAAGAACTCTGTGAAAAAGACAGAAAAAAAAAAGCACAATTAGTGAAGGAAATCTTTTGATCTTTCCTAAAATGAAATTCAAGGGAGAAGGAGGCAACAGTCAACTTCTCCTTCTCCAATCTAAAATCTCACTTCTCATTCTGACACGACGCAGATCCTTGTGCACACACGATGCTGCCCCGGGAGCATCCCAAGACGCCCACAAGGTTGGAGCACAGCGAGGGCAGAGCGCAGAACGAGCAGGGCAGCATTCAGGGCTGGGATCCGGCTGTCCCTGCGTGCCCCAGCAGGGCCCAGGCAGCGCTCCCAGCGCTCAGCAGGCAGGGAAGCGAAGGGCTCAGGAGCAGCCATGGGAGCAGAGGCTGATCTCCCCCTCCCCATCCAGGTGATTCTCCTGTCCCCGGTGCTGTCACTGCCGTCACAGCCCCGTCCCGCCGCCCTTTGAACCCGCGCCGCCCGAGCCTCCCCTCAGCGCCCAGCGCAGCCCCCTCAGGGCGCTCCCTCCCCGCCGCCCCTCACACGCACGCTGCCCGGCGGCGGCGGCAGCAGCGGGGCGGTCTCCCGCTCCTCCTCCTCCTCCTCCTCCTCGCCGTCCTCCTCCCGCCGCTCGCGGGCGGACAGGTACCAGCCGCGGGCGGGCAGGGGCCGAACCCGCCCGGACCCCCAGGGTGGCGCCGCCGCCATCGCCCCCGCGCCCGCCGAGCGCCTCTGAGGGGAGCGCCGGGGGCGGGGCCAACCGCGGGCGTGGCCGTGTGGTGGGCGTGGCCACAACGAGGGGCGGGGCCGTGCCCGCCCCGCTGAGGGAACACAGAGGGGCGTGATATTGTGGGCGTGGTTATCTCCTGGCCCCGCCCCGCCCCGCTGAGGGGACATGGGCGGGATATTGTAGGCGTGGTCACCGCCTAGCCCCGCCCATCCCGGCGCAGCGGCGATGACGCGCGTGAGAGGCGCGCGGGGCCCGGCATGAGGTGAGGGCGGGGGCGGCGGGGGGAGAGAATTCCCTGAGGGGGGAACATTCCCTGAGGGGAGAGCGGGATAACCGGGGAGAACGGGATAATCGCGGATCATGTGCTGAGGGAAGGGATGGTGTCTCTCCATGGGTGCCTTGGGAAGGTGGCGGCAGTGGCCTCCAGCCAGATCCAGCGTTGCGGGCGGCTCTGTCTTGTGGGTTTAATGCAGTACCGAGAAGCGACAGGATGAGAGGATATGGCCCCAGGTTGCGCCAGGGAAGGCTTAGTTTGGACATTAGAAAGAATTTGGCCACAGAAAAGGTGATCAGACATGGGAATATGTCCGGCAAAGTGGGGGAGTCACTGTCCTGGAGGTGTTAAAGGAAACATAGGGCGAGGCACCCCGTGCCGTGCTGGTGCTCGGTCACAGTTCGAATCGATGATCCCAGAGATCTTTTCCAGCCGATTCGATTCTCTGGGACCCACACCACCCATTTCCACCCCCAGGAGAAGCAGGGGGATGCTCAGGCCTGTGGATGAGGGATTTGTCCTGTGCACAGGGTGAGCAATGCCGTGTGCCTTTCAGGAGCTGTGCTCTGCCAAAAGCCTGGCTCAGGGAAAGGGGCGGCCTGGGGGATGCACGGAGTGGAGCTGGGATGGGGCGGGCCGGGATGGGAGCAGGAGCAGCCTGGGCAGGGTTTGGCACAGCAGGTTTGTGGAGGACAGAGCACACAGCCTGGTGTTACCCTGGAGAGGGGCAGACAGGAGAACCAATTTCCCTGCAGAGTGTCTCTCTCAAAACAAGCTTATAAAAACGTCACGAGGAACGCCAGCCTCCAGCACCACTAAACCATTGGCTCCTGCCTTGGAGCAGCCAGTGCCAAGGAAGAAAATTTGGCCCTTTTGATCTGTCTGTAGTGGAGGAAACCATTTCGAGCAGTGTGAAGCCACTTTTCCAGTTTCCATACCATGGATGAACTGGGGCTCAGTGGCAAGAACAGACATTACTGATGCTCCTCCTCTGGACCTTATGCTGGACACTGTATTTAATGGATGACCTTTCTGGCATGCACATTGTGACAGTGTTCACAGGGGTCTGAGGATGAGGGAAGAGACAAGGGTCTGACTCCATGTTTCAGGAGGCTGATTTATTGTTTTATTATATATATTATATTAAAACTATACTAAAATAATAGAAGAAAGGATTTCATCAGAAGGCTAGCTAAGAATAGAAAAAGAAGGAATGAATAACAAAGGCTTGTGGCTCAGACAGTGTCTGAGCCAGCTGACTGTGATTGGCGATTAGTTAGAAAAAAACACATGAGACCAATCACAGATGCACCTGTTGCATTCCACAGCAGCAGATAACCATTGTTTACATTTTGTTCCTGAGGCCTCTCAGCTTCTCAGGAGGAAAAATCCTAAGAAAGGATTTTACATAAAAGATGCCTGTGACACCCCTCGTGGAGCAAAGCTCTTACAGAGCATGGAACCTCTTACACTGGAGCATGGGAGGCAGAAATCACCCAAGAGTGACCATGACCACTGCTGCTAATAACTGTTTTCTAGCAACCACTGCTTGGTAATGGATTTTACCAGACATAGGAGGGATCCAACAGGAGTAGGATCAAGACAGTAGAAATATTTCCATTTGACTTACTGAGATTAATATCACATTTATTAGAACAAAGAGACGTCATTGTGTTTTGGCAGGAGGGGATTATCTCACTGCTTGAAGTCGGTTAACGTTTGAGTCTGAAAGTACATTTGCAAAATAACAAATTTGCAGCATATATTTCATAATAAAGAGCTTTACTAAGCTATTGTGGATTGTTTGGTACAGATGGAAATTCTGGTTTAAGAGAACAGCAAATCCATGTGATTTGCAGCCTTTTAAATGGAATGATTACATAATGTCTATAAAATGAATAATTTCTCTTCTAGGACTTTGTGGAGATTGGGATACTGTGCCAGACTACTGAAAACTAATCATTTAAGAACAGCTGCATCAAATCCATCATTTCCAGCAGTTTGGATGCTATTGGCACAACATTCTGGCACAATACCTGGGCTCTTTGTAGTAGTTCAAAAAAACACTTTGTTCACAATGCCCGAAACCGTGGAGGATAAAACTGATCCAGAACTGTATCTGCCACATCCTGGAGTGCGTGGGATGACACTGCTCAACAGAGAGGCTTTCAGAAGGACTCTGGTTGTTCCAGCTCTTAAAGTCAGGAAGGAAATTGTGCACAGAGTGGTGAAATCCCTGAAACAATCAGTGCTGCAGCGCCCCGGCCTCAAGCGCGTGGTGGAGGACCCAGAGGATGAGGACAGCAGATTTGTTATCCTGGATCCCCATAAAGTGCCAGAATTCTCATTAGGGGAGGCAGAGCAGCAGGTGCTGAAGGAGCTCAGTGTCCCTGCTGAGGTGTGCAAGCACCAGCTGGAGCTGGGCTATGAGAATTTCAAGGCGGAGGAGATCCTGAGGGCCGTCCTTCCCCAGGGCCAGGAGGTCACCTCTGGCTTCAGCCGTGTGGGCCACATTGCTCACTTGAACCTCAGGGACCACCAGCTGCCCTACAGACACCTCATTGGTAGGTGCAACAGCTCCTCTGTGGAAGGTGTTTGTGCCATTTGTGTATTGGTAAAAAGTTGCTGTGCTGGGGGGCACAGCTCTCACAGTGTGGTGCTGTCACTGCCCTGAGCTGAAGTGTGTGCCCTGGACAGGGCACAGCTGCAGCCCTGGCTCGTTGTTCCAGCACACACCTACTTTTGGTAATTCACCTGTAAACAGCAGCTTTGTTGTGGCTGTTGTCCAACATTAAAAGGTCCTGGTCCCTCAATCATAATTATCTCCCACCCTCTCTTTCAGGCCAGGTGATAATGGACAAGAATCCAGGAGTCACCTGTGTAGTGAATAAAACCAACATTATTGGCAGCACATACAGGAATTTTGAAATGGAAGTGCTTGCTGGAGAGAGCAACCTGGTGACCAAGGTACAGGCCCTTTTCCCCTGGTGTTTTAAATTTAATGTGCTAAAACAAAACCCAAAGGAATCTTCTGGAGAGGTGTGATGCAGGGATGCTGCTGGGACCATTCCTGTGCACAGTGCCCTTCCTGACACCTGCCTGAGCCTGAGGCTTGGCTGTTCCTGCTGCATGCCCTTGTCCTGCTCTGCCCAGGGCAAACTCAGCCACAGGGGTCAGGAAGGCATGTGTTCTCCCAAGTTCACAGCCTAGATTTAGTGATGTGCATTTGAGCTAAGAAAATCCAGTTTCCTGATTTCACCAAGCCTTGTACAGTGGCTGGTACAGAAATTTCTATCTTACCAACTTTGCAGCTTAGGCAACATTTTGCCTTTGCCTTTGTTGCCTTTGCCTTTTTCCTCTCCTGTCAGCAGCAAGACAAACCTCCTGTCTCCTCTGCTCTGACATCCATCAGGTGCAATCACTGTGTGACTGCCAAGTGTTCTTCACATAGGGCTTCTTGTCTGTACATGGAAACTCGGCCACTGCTTCCACAAAAATATTTTATCTGTTAGCAGCTTTATGCTTTCAAAGGAGAAAAAATGAGATTACCAAATAAAAGTTGAACAGCTTGGTGGAACATCCTGTTCACACAGAGAGAAGGCCCCTGGATTGTCAAGGCAGCAGTGACAATGGAATGTTGTGCAGATGGGGTCACCACACACCTGGCACGGCATGGAGCTGCATCCAGGAGTGCAGAGGCACTTCAGACACTTCACTTTGTTTCTTGCTGGCAAAGCAAACAGTGTGGAGATCTGGATCCCAGGTTACTTTGGAATCAGACAATTCCACATGCTGGTGCAAAGAGAGCATTAGCTTGCATCCCACTCTCATCTGAATAAATACTGTTCCTTTTCAGGTCTGTGCTGGAGACAGTGGTCATCCCAGAGCCTGGGTTTGGATCAGCCTCCAGACCCTGTCACCTTGGGAGATGAAATGCAGCATTTTTCAAGCTGCAGAACTGGCTCCCAGTGGCTTTGAATTTGGCTGACGGTTCCTGTGCTTGGGCCTATCATTCTCAGACACTTATTTACTGTGTGCACTTCACAAAGGAGGGCTTGAGGCTTCTTTCCAAGCTCTGCTTTCAATAAAGGAGCTGTCAGCCAGCCACAAAGCTCTTGAAAACCCTCAGATTTTTGTAGGGTCATTTGAAGTTGCTGCTTTATTTCCACCTGGTGATTGAGACCCGCATAATGCCAGCAATCAGGATTGATATCAGTGTCTGATATCAGCTATCAGTGTCTGATGAGTTGATCTGGTAGAGATTTAAGATCTGTTTATTTAAGATTCTCATATGCCACCAGTGGGACAATGTTGATGTGCATGTTACCTTTTGATAAGGCACCTTAATTTTCTTAATTAGGATAATGCTTAAATCTGCCTGGCATTTGAACACAGAGGCTTAACCAAACGTTTTGGACTTGCAGGTCAAAGAAAATAACATTTCCTACGAGCTGGATTTCTCCAAGGTGTACTGGAACCCGCGGCTGTCCACGGAGCACGGCCGCATCGTGGCGCTGCTCCGGGCCGGGGATGTTCTGTTCGATGTCTTTGCCGGCGTCGGCCCTTTCGCCATCCCGGCGGCCAAGAGGAGGTGCCGAGTGTTCGCCAACGACCTCAACCCCGCCTCCTACTCCTGGCTGCTGCACAACTGCCGGCTCAACAAAGTGCACGGCCAGGTGAAGGCGTTCAACATGGACGGCAGGGCCTTCCTGCGGGGGCCGGTGAGGGAGGAGCTCAGCAAGGAGCTCCCGCTGCCGGGGGAGGAGCGCCAAACCGCGTTCCACATCGTGATGAATCTGCCGGCCCTGGCTGTGGAGTTCCTGGATGTCTTCAGGCACCTCTTGGTGGGGGAGCCCTGCAGCCCCGCTGGCCTCCCCACCGTGCACTGCTACGGCTTCTCCAAGCACAGCGACCCGGCCAGGGACATTCAGGAGAGGGCAGAGGCCGTGCTGGGAACCTCCTTGGCCGGGCGCTGCTCCGCTGTCCTGGTCAGGAACGTGGCACCCAACAAGGAGATGCTGTGCCTCAGCTTCCAGCTCCCAGCAGACGTGCTCTACAAGAGGCCCTGCCCTGAGGAGGGTAAGGAGCAAACCCCCCACGGGGCATTGGGATTTCAGGCTGCACCTTGTGCTGCTCCCACCTGCTCAGCCCCGTGGCTGTGTGACATTGGCTGTGGCGCTGAGCACGGAGCTGGCCAGCAGCACTGAGGGCCTGCACGTGTGCAGCAGCTGCAGGGCTCTCCTCGCTGTGCTAACAGCAGCCTGCTCCTCTGATCCCAGCATGAGCTCCCCAGAAAAATGGACTGGACAGGATCACCCCACAGGCCATAAAGCAGACCTTGCTGCCTCAGGGTGGGGCACTCAGTGATGCTTGTGGGCCCTTCCATTGCAGGGTATCCAGTGGCTCTGTGATCCAAACCAAGCACACGGCCCTGTTAGCTCAGTCCTTCCAACTGGAGCTGTGCTTTCCCCAGATCACTGCACTCCCAAGGGACTGCTCCCAGCTCTGTCCTCCTCATGCTCACACACACAGTGAGCTCTGCAGTCACCACAGCAGCACAATCAGGTTCTGTCCCTGACTGAGTTTAACTGAGACCCTTGGAGATCTTCAGTGCTGAACTTGGTTGTTTCGTGGGTTTTCTTTTTTAATTGTTCATTTCAGAAACTGCTTGGTTTCAATGATGTTGGGCTTTGCAGTCCATGACAAAGGGAGCAGAGGGAGGCTCCCATCTGCAGGTACACCAACTGGAGGTTTTTATAAAGTTTAAGTGCCATTACACTTATTTTTATGCTGTTGTCAGGTTGCACTGAAATGTAGGTCAGAATGCAGCTCCATACAGGTTTTTGGAAAGTCTTTTTTGGCTTTCAGTAAAGACTCCCCATTATTGCTCTAACAGTTTTCATTTGTGATTGTTAATCCTCATTTTAACTCTCATCTCTTCCTGTTAAATCCCTTACCAGAGCTCCCTTTTTCAGAGCTTGTGGTAGGTCACGCTGTTTACTGTACATTAAATAACTTGCTTTTTCTAACCTTTTCCAGCAAAACCAGCCTCAAAACGTCTCTGTACCAGCCAAGATTCTTCAGAAGAGAAGGCATTGAGTTGAAGACTATGGTGACTGCCTCAGTTTGTGTAAGGATATTTGGGGTGTCTCTGGTTTACCCCTTGAGTTATGAGGAGCAGAATTGTGTTCCCATTGAGTTACACCTTTATTTTGGGAGCCCTGCTTCCTGCAGTCACCTTTTCTTCTCATTGTGGGACTGACTGAAATTGCTACTACAAAAAATTAAAGCTTTATTCTCTTATAATCAATGTGTTTTGGTACTTCCCTGCTCTCTATTGTTTCACACCCTGTGCTAACTCAGTGGCAGGGCCTGGGGTGGTTTTCTGCTGTAGCATTTTGATGATGTGCAGATTGTGGGGAGAACAGACTCTTGTGTCTTGTCAGGTCTGGGAAGGTGAGTGATGCAACCCCTGCCCTGGATTCTCCCTGACAGATGTGTTCTGCTTTCAGAATTTGGGTTATGCTTAGCAGATGCACAAACAGCTCTTGTGTAAGCAAGGTAACCTTTCAAAAGCTTAACCTGAGATACCAAAAGGGCCTGATAGCCCAACATCCTGAGGTTTTGAGTAAAAAATTCATTTTAACACCAAGATTTAGTTAGGGATTAGTTGACTCCTGACTCTGTGTTTGCCCATGGTTAGAGCCAGAAAAACTTTAATGTCTTTTGCATGTTTGCAGATGAAGTTCATGCTCTCATTGCAGTTCCAGGCTGAAACCAGCACCTGAAAAACAGTTCTGTCCTCCTGACACCACGTCCTCCTGTGGCTTCTGTGCCTCTGCCCTCTCCAGCTCTCCCCACCTCTGCCTGCTCCCCTCCCTGGATGATCTTTCTGCCTGGCTGCTTGTATTCTGCAGGGATTTGAAAAGCCTCTGCCTTTGATTTCCTTTTCTTACCCATCCAAACTATTGTTGGGCAATGTCAACCACAAACAGTTTCTTTGGCCGGAGCGCTCGGCTCGCCCTCTCCGTTTCAGCGATGTTCCCTCAGCCCAGGCCCTGAGCTCACACCCAGCCACCAGATGTGTGTCACCCTCGTGGCCCTGCTGCTGTGGCCCCAGCCCTGAGCCTGCAGCCTGCTGCATGTTTGGTTCTCACCCAAACACCACCAAGGGCCACGGGTTTGTTTTGCTGGTGTCTCTGTGTGCCGGCCTTTCCTTCCCTTGGCTGCACAGCTGTGTTGGGAGCGAGCCCTCGAGCTGGGTTCCTGCAGGATCTCATTTATCCATCCCCAGGGAGGCTGTCCTGGCTCACCTGAGTATCCTGATCCCTCCTGCTCAGCCCTGCAGCTCCAGCCCGTGCTCTCCTCCCAGGCACGGCTGTGCTGCGATTCTGTCCCTGCTCTGCTGCTCTCCAGCTGCTGCCTCCCCCTTCCCACAAACATCTGAAGGCAGCTCCTGTTCTCCAGGCCCCCCACAAGCACTGCTGGAGTGATAAGGCACTGACTGAACCACTCTGGGATGGTGCAGCCACCCTGGGATCCCTGTGACTTCACAGCCCCAATTCAGGGCTTGGCAGCACTGCACCAACACAAACCATTTCTGGGCCAAAATATGTAACTCTGACCTTCACTAAAGTGTCAGGGCAGGGAAGGATTTAAAGTGGTAAAATTTTTTCTCCCTGAAGAACCAAATGCCAGTGTTATTCCAGCAGCATAACTTCAGTTCAGATACCAGTCTAGCAGATACATCACTGTGCTCATAACCAGGGGTTTTCCAGCTTTCTGTGCAGCTGCCAGTTCTGTGTACAAGAAATGACACAATAAATAACAGCCAGGCTACACACAAGTTAATGAGTGTATTGAAATTATGAATATTAATATGCATATGCAGTTCTGCATTCATTAGGGCATGACCTGGGGCTTTACAGAGTGAATCTGAAGAGATCATTGGTGAGATGGGAGAGGGGAGACAGAATAGAGGAGGGAAGGGTCTGATCTTACCTCTGCCTTCTGGAACATTCCTTGTCAGCAGCTCTTCTGGGCACAACCAAGGGGATTTCAAAGGGCAATGGAAATTCTGCCATCTCCCCCCATTTTCTTTAAAAAGAAAACACCAAGTCTGGAATAGATCTCACTCATCTCTTTATTACAGCATAGAAAAAATACATCCATCTAGTGCACTCCTCAGAGCAGGATTCAGCAGCTATAAAACATGGCCCGAGGTGGCTGTGCTGAGCAGCCTCCACCTCCTGCCCCTGGTCATGGCTCCTTCACAGGGAGCAGGCCGGGAATACAAAAAGGATCACATCAGGTGCAGGGATCATCCCCAAAGCCAGAGGGATGTTCCCTCCTAAAGAAACTCCTGAGTTTATGACAGACAAGTTGCAAGTGGAGATAAACAGGAAAAAGCAAACATACAAAAGCAAAACAAACAAACCCCAAAAGGGAACCCCACAATTTTGACTGCTTCAGTGACTTTGCCTTGTACTGACATTTCTTAGATTGCTTCTAGAGCACCTCAGCTGAAAGACCTTGAGCTAAAGCTTTGTTTTCCAAGCAAAGGTAAGAACCAGTGACACAGGGAGGAAGGATCCCACACGAGGCTGTGTCAGCATATTTCCAGAGGTTCTTGTCTCATCCAGCTGGCAGGAGGAAAAACCCACTTGTCTAAACTGGGAAAACTAGTTTTATGGGAAGAAAATGCAGGCTTGAATATTGACACTAAATGTTATAATCAAAATGGCATTTAAAAACTTGTGCAAATAAAACCCTGCAATAAGAGTAAAACCACAAACTTTATTAAAGTCTGGCTTTATTTAAAAAAAAAATTTACAAGTGTATTTCTTTAAGCCTCAAACGTACACAGCTGAGTTATTCACATCTTCCATTAGATGTGGCTTATTGCTTCAGCCTCCCTCAGCAAAGTGCCACATGAGTAACGAGTTTCCCCCTCCACAAGAATGTTTCTGCCATTTTACACAGCTCTGGTGCAGGGGGGGTTTGGTTTTTCCCTTGAACCCTGGAGCGCAGCCGGTTTCGCACCAGAGGGGGGCACAGGGCAGCGAGCTCGGCACCGATCCCGCCCCGCCTCGGCTGCCCTGGGTCGCTCCCGGCCCCGCTGGGTGTCCCTCGGTCACACCCGGTGCTCCCTGGCTAGCTGGGGTGCCAGAAGAGCCCGCTGAACGCGTCCTGCAGGGCTCGGTGACAGGCCAGCGAGGACGTGTAGCCCCCGGCCAGGTCCTGCGGGGAGGCGGCCCGAACGTGGCTGAGGTACCTGCGGCAGAGAGCAGCGTCAGTGTCCGTTCAGAGCACAGAAACACAGAAACACAGCAAACACCCCGAGTTCACAGCGCAGCGGGGCTGAGAGAACCTTTCAGGAGATGGAGAGCCCACTGCCCACAGCAGGATAAAAGTTCTGCGAGTTACAGCAATGACACAGCTCCAGCCAGGCTGCCCCAGCCAGCGCCCTGGTGGCACAGGGCTAAGGACACCCAGGGTTTGTGTTCTCTGTGCCCGCTCTGGGGTGGCTCACGTCCCCACTCCACAGGCCCTGCCAAGACAAGGACACCACCAGGAGGGTTTCAGCTCTGCCACTTAATGCCACACACTCCCCAGGCTGACTGTGCTGGTTACTCTGATGACCACAGGGCTGAGCTTCCTTTGCTTCCTACCTGTGCCTGGAGCCCTCTGACTCTGGGAATCAGATCTGTGGGAGGCCACCATCACTTTGGCTAAAAAAGGCTCTAAACTTCCCCATTAATTAATCATCATCACCCATTTGCAGAGCCATCTAATTCTACCCCAAACCTTCCAGAGCATTGACATGGAAACATGGGCTGACATGGAAGCAGGAGCTGACATGAAAGTAGGAGTTGATATAGAAGCCAGAGTTGACATGGAAGCAGGAGCTGACATGGAAGCAGGAGTTGATATGGAAGCAGGAGCTGACATGGAAACTTCAGCTGACATGGAAGCAGGAGCTGACATGGAAGCAGGAGTTGATATGGAAGCAGGAGCTGACATGGAAGCACAAACTGACATGGAAACACGGGCTGACATGGAAGCACAAACGCTGCCTGTGCTGGCACTACCACTCTTGGCTCCCCCTGGCTCCACCCCAGCCACACACGCAGAGCCCCTGCTAAAGGATGGCTTCATAACCCCACAGCTCCTGCACCCCACGAGACAAGTTCAAGACAGATTCTCCACCAGTTGTGCACCAAAGCCCATCAAACAGCTCAGAGCCCAGCAGGAGCAGCACAAGGAGCATCTCCCACCCTGACCATCAGGCACAGCCCCATAAACACCGAGTGCTCCCCACAGGGGCGCTCCAGGCGCTGCTTGGATCCCTCACTTGGTACATGTTGCTCCTGGGAAGGTTGAGTCATTCCACCTCTGGCTTGGCAATCCAAGCATAAACTTGCAAAACGCACACAGCCTTTTATAATGTTATCCCAAGAAACCTAAAACAGCTGCACTTTTGGCAGGAAAATACAGGACCACCAGTAAAATATCCAAAACAGTTGCATCTTTTAATTTATGACTGTACACTGTTTCCATAAAGAGTATATAAAACAGGTCAGATTTTATAGGTAAGACATAATAAACAGTCATACCCATTGATGCCATAAAAGCATAGAAAAAGAGATTACTGAGAAATGATTAATTACAGTTTTAAAAACTGTATTTCTTGCACCTAATAACCACAATGCACAGACATGAGCAATGTTTCTGAGGGATTCTTGGTGAGATGCTGAAGCTGAGACTGAATTTACCTCCTGTGACTGAGCTGAGGTGTTTTGTACCAAGCTGTGACAGAATCTGGCCCTCACTGCCAGACATTGGTTCCCATCAGCACAGACAGGAGAGCACAAAGTAATAATAAAAGAAACCCTTTTAATAGTGCTCAGTCCAAAAGAATTTACAAACACAGCAACAAAGCTGGTCCCATCTCTTAATTTGCAAGGGGAGGTGGTCTGCAGAGAGCTCCTGGTTTGTGGCAGAACACATTTTATGGGTTTTCATTTTTTTCTTAAGATTCTTGTTACTTGTCCTTTAATATTTTAAGAGGAAGATCTCATCCTTCCCAAAGGACTTTTAAAACTGCTGTGGGAAACAGGAGCTCCTTTCCCCAGCCAGGAATGATGGGCACTGACAACAACAAATAATTTCCTTCAAAATGCTGGTGTGAAACTACCTCTACCCTCCAAAACAGAGAGTCTTACAAAAATCAGTTCCCATCTTGAATTCCACTTCTATCATATTTATTTCATTGCACAACTTCATTTTCCCCTCAGTCCAGTGAAAATGGGAGTGTTTTACTTTTCAACATTAACAAAGGTTGGTTGTGTCTTTCTCATTACTTTTCTTATCTTCCCTTACTTACATATCACTGAAAGGAGAAAAACAGAGTCTATTGTTTCCCTTTTTCTAGGACATCTGAAATTGGAGCATTAGTTTCATAAGACAAGCTGACTTCAGCCACTGCAGCACTTGCAGTTAATTGGGAGGTGATCTCTGCAGCAACACAAACTCATTGCCAAAAAGGCTCCCATCGACTTTTACAGCACAACCTGCCCTAATTCTCCTTACTCCTGTGAAACAAGCACAGCCTGCTGCTGGCTGTCAAGCGAGGTCTTTATTTTCTTGTTAAGTATCTGAACTTACTGCTCTTGACCCATTTAATTACTGTGGTACACCAGGCAATTGCAAAGAATCTGCCACGCCGAAGCCACACAATGAGCAGTGAATGCTTTTTGCTGCCTTTTCCCCATCTGTGCTGCCTGATCCCAGCCATCCCCTCCACAGGAGAATCTCTCTGAACTGGATTCCTGGGGTTTCTGGCAGAGGTCAGCACATCTTTTCATGTACACCTTTACAACAGCAGCAGGAAGAAGGGCTTGCCAACTTTTATTTCCAAAAAGCCGAGCTCCCTTAGGTCCTGGGACCTGGAGGTAATTGCTCTCACTAGTTAGCAAATTCCAGCACACTGGGTCTGTTTTTCATAGGTTTATTTTAAGTACCTGTAAATCTTATAAGCAGAGACCAGGAAAAAGAGGTTTGCTTTTTCTGGTGCGCAGTTTTTTAATGTAACTTGTTTTTTCTGAGGGCAGACTAAACTCTGAAGTTAAAAAAAGCCTGCACTATTATTTTTGAGCAGGGCTGAAGGGCTGTGTGTTCCCTGCCCCAGCATTTCACACTTCCCATTCCCAGCAATGCCCAAACAAGCCTCCTTGCCTTGGCTGCAGCCTTTGCACGTTGATCTGCCCCATGAAGCTTTCACATCAGTCCAAACACATCATATTTTGTTCTTCATGAACCTTGGGGGGGCTCATTCCTGACCTTCACTTTCTCATCACCTTGGAGGGGTGGGAGGGAAAAAAAACCCCAAAAAACCCAAAAAACAGCAACAACAACAAAAATCTTGTTTTCAAGGAAAGAGGTGTAATTCACACTCATTCTGGAGGCTCAGAATCAAGCTGGTTGTTCCAAGGAAGGGTTTTCTTCATGTTTTCCCTTCTCCCAAGGCTGTGTCACAACCACTTCGCCAGGACAGGGCTGTGAGAGCTTCCTGGGCTCAGTGTGGCAGCGGATGTGACCCCCTGTGCCTCCAGGGAGCCCCAGAGCCCCTGCACTGCTGTTCCTGAGAGCCAGAGCACCCAACAGCAGCTCAGCAGCACCAGGGCCACTGGCAAACATCCCCTCGCTGCTCAGCAGGGTGGGCTTGCTCCAGAGAAACTCAGGAAAAACGTCAGGAACAATCAGAGAGAATGGAGAAACAGCACAATCAAACCTGGCTAAAATAAACACCAACCAGAAACCAAACAAAGCTAAAAACCCTCACCTAAACAAAGGAAAAGAACCAAACACAAACCAACAACCCCAAACCACCCCAGAGTATCAAAGTACCAGTGCTGGGGATTATTTCACACAATCTTTCCTGCCACCTGAGATAAACACATTCCCAGGGGTGTTCCTGCAGATGCATCACTTAGAGATACAGATGGAATAACTCTGAATTTGGCACACAGATTTTTTTTACCTATTAGGTATTTAATGGTAGTGAAGAAAAGAAAAATCATTCACAAGTTGTTTGACAAGGAAAAAAAAAGAAATAATTTCATTCTATTCCACAGAGTAGATTTACTGCTCATCTGATTATCTGCAGCATCCAAGACATAAAGTAATGGGGCAGACATTAGATCTGGGAAATTTTCCAGATTCATCATTTAAATAATAAATAGTGACTGCATGAAGCAAGCAAAATACTCCAGTCTGGAAAACTGGGAAGCACTAGGAAGGCAGTAGCATGGGCTGCTGCATTCCTGAGCCTTTCTGGAGACATTTTCACCAGATTTACCAATCCCTGGGATGAGCTATTGCTGAGTTACTCAGAGGAGCTGCAGGGACTGGCTCCCACCAGAGGACAGAGCACAGAAGGAGCTGGGCTGTGTCTGCCCTGGAATGCTGAGCAGTGTGTGCCCTGGTTCCTCTCCATCCCTGGGCAGGTACAAACTGAGCTCCCCTGCTCAGCTCCGCCACAGTCAGGCTGTGCAGCCAAACAGGATTTGTTTATAAAATGAGCCCAGCTCACTGCTGTTCTCCACTAAACACCCCCAGGAAATGCATTGGTGATATTCAAATGTGGCGTGGTTCTCCCTCTCTCAGATTAATATGATGAAGGCAGGGCAAAAACACAAGGCACAAAGCTGGTACTCAAACCCAGAACACCAATTCATCATTCCAGGGAGTAGCTACAAGCCTGATCCTCAAATTAAAAAAACCAAACAAGCAAATTTTTCACCCATTTTAGCAGGCACTATGTGGGCAGCATGACTGTATTTAGATCTTAAACCCACCAGCTGTGACTGGTATCAGAAGTTCCTGCTGAACACAGAAATTCAAGTTTACCACAGCCATGAGCTCAGCCAGGGCTCCTCATGAGCCCAACCCAAGCCCTCCTTGCCTGAGGTCACACTGCCAGCCCTGGCACTCCTCTCCTCCACCTCCAGACCCCACAGACAAATGGGAGAAAATCCATTTAATAGGTGCAATCACTGCAGGAGCTCTCTTATTTGTTTGGGGTTTTTTTCAATGCTTCTCTGTATACAATCACAGCATTAAGTGTGGATATCAAAACAGGGCTAAGCATGGTGAGGCCCAAATAGAGAGATAAAAACCACATTTTCACCCAGATTATGGAACCTTATGGACTGAACACAGCCCACAGTGCAGGGATACAAGGAACAGTCACACTCTAAATAGCACAACAGT